CATCTCAAAAAAAAAAAAATTTAAAATAACTAATGCCTAATGCCATTTTAAAATAATCTTAAAAGTACAGTTGGAAGTGGTGTTAGAATGTAGTTACTGAGAGCAGAAAGGGGCATTCTATTTGTTCATCTGTTGCTTTCTCTGAAATCTATTGTTTGGCTTTACACTGAACACCTGGTATGACTCTGCAGATTTTTGTTTTTTCCGTGAAAACAGATATCTATGATGCTTTTTTTCCTCTCTTGAAATCTCTGGAAGAAAAATATTTACTTAATAGAAATAGAAGCGGGAGAGGTTCTTCAAAAACCACAGTGGTATATTAATACAAAATATGGGTGACCTCTGAAGAAACTGCAGTCACAGAGAAGAGAAAGGCTGCTGCGTAGAATGCCTCTAATTCACTTTCCGAGGGAGAAGAGGGACCAAGAGTTGGACAAAGCAAGGAGCTGTTAGCACTCAGAATCTGAAGAGTTGTTTCCATTCTGAATTACTTAGTTTGATTTGATCTGCATGTCTAGCTCATTTGCTGTAAAAGAATCAGCCAAAGGGAGTGATTTAAGATGTGAATCTGGCCAGGCAGCTATCTTGTGTCAGTGATTTCGTGGGATGAAGTTTCCAAATGTAGTGTAGTTTATTTTGAGATAGAGTCTCACTCTGTCTCTCATGCTGGAGTGCAATGGCACAATCTTGGCTCACTGCAACCTCCTCCTCCGAGGTTCAAGCGATTCTCATGCCTCAACCTCCCAAATAGCTGGGATTACAGGCCTGCACCACCATGCCTGGCTAAGTTTTGTATTTTTAGTAGAGACGGGGTTTTGCCATGTTACCCAGGCTGGTCTCGTACTCCTGACCTCAAGTGATCCACCCGCCTCTGCCTCTCTTAAGTATTGAGATTATAGGCATGAGCCACCACACCCAGCTGCAATTAACTTTAATTTTTTTGTTATTGTTTGTTTATTTGTTTTTTTGAAACAGTCTTGCTCCACCGTTCAGGCTGGAGTACAGTGGGACAGTCTCCACTCACTGCAGCCTTTGCCTCCCAGGTTCAAGCAATTCTCTTGCCTCAGCCTCCCGAATAGCTGAGGCTACAGACGTGTGTTTTTTTGGATTGTTTGTTTTTGTTTTTGAAACGAAGTTTCGCTCTTGTTACCCAGGCTGGAGTGCAATGGCGCAATCTCGGCTCACTGCAACCTCCGCCTCCTAGGTTCAAGCAATTCTCCTGCCTCAGCCTCCTGAGTAGTTGGGATTACAGGCACATGCCACCATGCCCAGCTGATTTTTTTTTTTGTATTTTTAGTAGAGACAGGGTTTCACCATGTTGACCAGGATGGTCTCGATCTCTTGACCTCGTGATCCACCCGCCTCGGCCTCCCAAAGTGCTGGGATTACAGGCGTGAGCCACCGCGCCCGGCTTAATTTTTTTGTATTTTAATAGAGATGGGGTTTTGCCATGTTGGCCAGGCTGGTCTCAAACTCCTGACCTCAAGTGATCTACTCACCTTGAACGCCCAAAGTGCTGGGATTATAGGAGTGAGCCACCATGCCCAGCCTAATTTGCTTTATTTTATGTTATATGTCACCTGTGGGGAGGGAAACATTTTGATAAATTCTAGATAATCAACAAAGTTGAGATGATTGAGAATCCTTAATCTGTACCCAAATATATGAAGTATTTTGCTAGAGCTGAAGGGCCCGGGAAACTTTGGAATCAGATCTTGTCACTTAACCAGTAAACTGACTTGCATAAGAGATCCAGAGATGAAAGCTGGATCAGAAGACCCAAAACTGTTCAAAGTATATGAAGTGTAAGTCAGGGGGCCTTACCTTAGAGGATAGAAAAGGCGTTATTAATACCAGAAGAAAATGGCAGGGAAAATCTATTTATATACATACATATATTCTATATATTTTATTTTTATTTTAAAAATATTTTCATATATATCTTATATGTAAATATATAGAGCAGAAAAATTAGCCAGCAGACAGTTGGCAATTTCTGGAGATGTTTTTGGTTATCACAACTGGCTGTGGGTGGAGAGGTGGGATGTGCTGCTGACCTCTAGTGGGTAGAGGCTGGGAATACTGCTAAATATCCTACCTTACACAGGACAGGACCTACATCAAAAACCTATCCAGCTCTAAATGTCTTTTGTTTTTTGGTTGTTGTTGTTGTTTTTTATTTGAAACAGAGTGTGGCTCTGTCACCCAGGCTGGAGCACAGTGGTGCAGTCTTGACGCACTGCAGCCTCCGCCTCCCGGGTTCAAGCGATTGTCCTGCTTCAGCCTCCCAAGTAGCTGGGATTACAGGTGTGCACCACCACACCTGACTCATTTTTGTATTTTTAGTAGAAACAGAGTTTTACCATGTTGGCCAGGCTGGTCTCAAACTCCTAACCTCAAGTGATCCACTGGCATTGGCCTCCTAAAATGCTGAGATTACAGGTGTGAGCCACTGCCCCAAATGTAAATAGTGCTAAGATTAAGAAACCCTGACCTTGAGGAACTCCAATTCTCTTTTACCGTTGAAATCATAGGACACAGTCTGAACGTTACAGGAGGCCAGGTACAAACCACCAAAACAAAAAGCACTTCATTTTTGTTTGCTTCTCATTTAATGTCCATCCTGAAAAAAAGACGGAGGAAAAAAAAGTTGCTAATAAAGCAACTGTGTAGGATGGATTCTGTGATTCCATTGAATACTACCAAGTGGTTTTTCTTCCCTTTTTTTTTGAGATGGAGTCTCTCTCTGTCGCCCAGGCTAGAGTGCAGTGGTGCAATCTAGACTCACTGCAACCTCCACCTCCTGGATTCAAGCAATTCTCCTGTCTCAGCCTCCTGAATAGCTGGGACTACAGGCACATGCCACCATGCCCGGCTAATTTTTGTACTTTTAGTAGAGATGGGGTTTCATCATATTGGTCCCGCTGGTCTCAAACTCCTGACCTCAAGAGATCCACCCACCTCGGCCTCCCAAAGTGCTGGGATTACAGGCATGAGCCAACGTGCCCAGCCACAAGTGTTTTTTATCATAGGTTTCAAGAACATTCAAACTCACTATAATGACTTTGTTGAGGAATGATGAAAAAAAAAAAAAGCCTTCTATACATTTAAAAAATTATTTCCCAGTGATAACAGATCTGGCCAGGTGAAGTGGCTCACACTTGTAATCCCAGGACTTTGGGAGGCCAAGGCAAGTGGATCTCTTGAGCCCAGGAGTTCAAGACCAGCCTGGGTGACATGGCAGAACCCCATCTCTACCCGCCCCCCCAAAAAAAGCCAGGTATGGAGCACACATGTGTAATCCCCAACTACTCGGGAGGCTGAGGTGGAAGGATCATTTGAACCCGGGAGATAAAGATTGCAGTGATCTGTGATTCTGCCACTGCACTGCAGCCAGGGTGACAGAATAAGTCCCTGTCTCAAAAAAAAAAAAAAAAAAAAAGGTGGGGAGTGAAGAAAGAAGGAGGGAGAAACGGATATTTATATTCTAAAGAGAAAACCATCAAAATGGAAAGGAGAAATTAGACTCAACAATAGGAACAGAGTGACAGAGAGCCTTTGAGTATGTGAGATCCACCCTATAATTACTATTTTTTATTTTTAAAAAAAACAAGGTCTTGCTTTGTCACCCAGGCAAGAGTGCAGTGGCCAGATCATAGCTCACTGTAACCTTGAGCTCCTGGACTCAGGAGATCTTCCAACCTCAGGTTTCCAAGTACCTGGGACTACAGGCATGTGCTACCATACCTGACTTACTTATTTGTTGAGATGAAGTCTTGCTGTCACCCAGGCTGGAGTGCAGTAGCATGATCTCTGCTCACTGAAACCTTTGCCTCACAGGTTCAAGCAGTTCTTCTGCCTCAGCCTCCTGAGTAGCTGGGATTACAAGCGTGTACCACCATGCCTGGCTAATTTTTGTATTTTTAGTAAAGACAGGCTTTCACCATGTTGGCCCAGCTGGTCTTGAACTCCTTACCTCACGTGATCCACCTGCCTCGGCCTCCGAAAATGCTGGGATTACAGGCGTGAGCCACCATGCCAGGCCTATTTATTTTTTTTAGAGACAGGGGTTTTGCTGTGTTACCCAGGCTGATCATGAACTCTCAGGCTCAAGCAATTCTTCTACCTGGGCCTCCCAAAGTGCTGGAATTATAGGCAGGAGCCACTGTTCCTGGCCCCCACCCTATAATTAAAAGCAAAGCATGGGTCAGTATGTTAAGTGAAACATGCCAGGCTCAGAAAGATATATACTGCATGTTCTCACATATAGGAACTAAAAAAGTTGATCTCATGGAAGTAGGGTAGAATCACAGTTACCAGAGGGCCTGGGAAGGGTAGTGGGGTGTGGAGAGATGAAAAGAACTTGTTTAATGGGTATAAACTTAAAATTAGAAGGAATAAGTTCTAGTGTTTGATAGTTTAATAATTAGAGTTAACAGTATTTTATTGTATATTTCAAAATAGCTAGAAGATTTGAAATGTTTCCAACACAAAAAAATGATAAATGTTGTAATAGATATCCTAGATACTCTGATCATTACACATTGTCTGCATATACCAAAATCACATGTATTTCATAAATTTTTTTCTTAAATCTTTTTTTTTTTTTTTTCATTTTAAAGAGACAGGGTTTCACCATGTTGGCCAGGGTAGTCTCGAACTCCTGGCCTCAAGTGATCCATCTACCTCAGCCTCCCAAAGTGCTGGGATTACAGGCATGAGCCACTGCGCGCAGCCATATTTCATAAATATGTACAATTATTTTGTATTAATTTTTAGAAAGGAAAGTATGGGAAAATCTATCTTTAATTCCAACTTCCTTTTGTAACCAGATACCCTTTGGGAGAGGTGCTAAGAGCCCACGTTACCCTGGTTTAGCTTGTTGTACAGGTTATTAGAGTAGAGAAGAATTGGGCATGGGAATGTTTCTTCTCTCACAGGTGTAACTAAAAAAGCTGGTTGGTCTAACTTGATTATCTTTGTCCTATAAGCCTCTGCAGGTGTGTGAGCAGGATTGCTTCTGCAACAAAAGCTTCCACCCAGCCACATCTTGGGAAGAGAATGGCCACTTCTTGGGGCGCAGTGTTATTTATGCTGGTGGTATCCTGTGTTTGCAGCGCTGTCTCCCACAGGGACCAGCAGACTTGGTTTGAGGGTATCTTCCTGTCTTCCATGTGCCCCATCAATGTGAGTGCCAGCACCTTGTATGGAATTATGTTTGATGCAGGGAGCACTGGAACTCGAATTCATGTTTATACCTTTGTGCAGAAAATGCCAGGTGAGTGCAACTGGGACCCTTACCAGAGTCTGTAAATCCATACTTCAGCATCTGTTCCCAGAAACAAATATGCTGAGAGGTTTTTTTCTGTGAATTACAGAATTGCATACATAGTGCATGTCTTTTTTCAGAGAACTTTGGAGTATAATTGAACACATGGTTTATTTGTTTTGTTTTGTTTTTTTCATTTTTATTTTTTAATTTTTTTGAGTCAAGGTCTTGCTTTATTGCCCGGTCTGGAATATAGTGGTATGATGACAGATCACTGTAACCTCAATCTCCTGGGCTCAAGCAACCCTTCCACCTCAGTCCTCCGAGTGGGACTACAGGCTTGTGCCACCATGCCCAGCTAATTTTTAAATTTTTTGTAGAGTCCTGCCCAGGCTTGTCTCAAACTCTTGGGCTCAAGTGATCCTCCCACCTTGGCCTCCCAAAGTGCTGAGATTATAGGAATGAGACAGCATGCTTGGCCAGAACACATGGTTTAATTCAATGTGAAATTAGAGATCTGGGCTGCCTGTAATCTGAAACCTATGTGTTCAAAAAAATAGCTGTAATTTGTTCTTCCTCCTCTCTAAACATGGGATACTCCAGGGATCCATAATATTCAGAATATGGGGAGTGGTTTTGGGAGAAGGATCACATGAGAGTTTCACTGCCATCCTTAGACAAAAGGCTAGGGGACTCTGAAGATTAACTTTCTCTGAATTGTTAGTGTTTTTTCCTCAGGTCACTTATGGAGCCTGGGGAAAGGAGTAGGAGCTAGATGTCCACCAGAGAAATGGTAGCGGGACCCTCAGAGATTGCTCTAGTCCCGCTTTCCAGTTCTCCTGCAAGACATTCCTCACAAGTGGGATCATTTGGGATAACTGCGGGGAAGTCATAGGAAAGCTTACAGAGCCCAGCATCTGAAGCTGCCTAACTTTTGGTAACCAGCTCTCTCTCTGTTTTGTTCCATGGACAAAATAGGACAGCTTCCAATTCTAGAAGGGGAAGTTTTTGATTCTGTGAAGCCAGGACTTTCCGCTTTTGTGGATCAACCTAAGCAGGTGAGTTTCTTATGATTTGATGTTTAGATTCTCCATGCCTTGATCATTTGACCACACCACTGCTGTTAAATATTTCATGCTATTCACTAATGAGATTGAGGTCATGTGTGAGATCAGCTTTCTCTCCTCAGCTTATCTCCTGGATAACATTAATTATATTTCCCAGGGTCTTGAGGGCTGGGTGGAAGAAGCCTAGAAAATTGGTATGGTCATGCAAGGATGACACTAGCTTTTTTTTTTTTTCTTTTTTTTTTGAGACGGAGTTTCGCTTTTGTTACCCAGGCTGGAGTGCAATGGCGCGATCTTGGCTCACCGCAACCTTCGCCTCCTGGGTTCAGGCAATTCTCCTGCCTCAGCCTCCTGAGTAGCTGGGATTACAGGCACGCGCCACCATGCCCAGCTAATTTTTTGTATTTTTAGTAGAGACAGGGTTTCACCATGTTGACCAGGATGGTCTCGATCTCTTGACCTCGTGATCCACCCGCCTCGGCCTCCCAAAGTGCTGGGATTACAGGCGTGAGCCACCACGCCCGGCCTGACACTAGCTTTTAAGAGATTTCTTGGCTGGGCATGGTGCCTCATGCCTGTAATCCCAACACTTTGGGAGGCCGAGGTGGGTGAATCACAAGGTCAAGAGATCAAGACCATCCTAGCCATGATGAAACCCCATCTCTACTAAAAATAGAAAAATTAGCCAGGTATGGTGGCATGCACCTGTAGTCCCAGCTACTCCGGAGGCTGAGGCGGAAGAATTGCTTGAACCCAGAAGGCAGAGGTTGCAGTGAGCCGAGATTGCGCCACTGCACTCTAGCCTGGTGAGAGAGCAAGACTCCACCTTAAAAAAAAAAAAAAATTTCTCCGTATGTATTCACTGTTTAAAATTTTGAGTTGAAGCCATCAGTGTGCATTTGGTCATGTAAATGCAGAAGATAGAAATGAAGTTCTATAGGGCATGTTGTATAAACACGGCAATTGAAGGGATGGAGACCAGTGAATTTCATTTCAGAGTGCCTTGATGCAGGATGGAACCATGCCTATACTTGAGAAATTAGGCAACAACCCATGAGAACAAAAACCTTTGACGGTAGAAGATGAATAGAGTTTGCAGCGACTATATTTCACATTTGAGCACCTACACATACTACATTCTGTGTGTCTGAGACCAACAAAATAGAATAAGGCAGAATGTTAAACTTGGGGAACAAATGTAAAGGTATTGTTCACTGTCACAAGAATAATCATTATTCAAATGCCTGATGTTAAAAATAATTTGCATTTGGAGAACTGAAAGGGTGTGTTTTCTTACTTCAGTAGCACATGGATAGCAAATCTACTGGAAAAATTAGGGTCTGTTGAAAGCAGCTATATTATCAGAAACTGACTTGCATTTAGAAAAGGTGATTGTGTTGTAGTTGCTAACAATAATGATCAAAAAACAGTCAGATATCAGAATAAAAGTTGACTCAGAAACAGTGGATTTAAAATAATGGTTTTCATTTATTACAGATTGAGCATCTACTGTGTGCCATATATATAGGTGCTGGTGATACAAAAATGAGCCTGACATGTTCTTTAGGAGAGCATAAAAAATGTTGCAACATTACTGCCACACCTTATGTGGCAACTACACTCACTATGCCTCATACACACAATAGTTAGTGGTGGTTGGAGGCATATCTCCCATCCCACACTTGAGGAAACCAAGTCCCAACAAGGCCAAGTGATCTAAGTTAGGCCACAGGGTTAGCATGCAAGTCTTCTGTCTCTAATGCCTGTGTTTTCTTCACTATACCCAATTCTCCAGCCTAAAGCTGATTTATATGAAACATGAAATAATCAACTAAAATGACCGTAATATAAAAGAATAATTTGGCCTGGCACAGTGGCTCATGCCTATAATCCCAGCACTTTGGGAGGCTGAGGCAGCTGGATCACTTGAGGTCAGGCATTCGAGACCAGCCTGGCCAACATGGTGACACTCCATCTCTACTAAAAAATATAAAAATTAACTGGGTGTGGTGGCACTCGCCTGTAATCCCAACTATTTGGGTGGCTGAGGCACGAGCATCACTTGAACCCGGGAGGCGGAGGTTGCAGTTAGCCAAGATCATGCCACTGCACTCCAGCCTGGGGAACAGCAAGACTGTGTCTCAAAAAAAAAAAAAGAATTAGGATTGTCAAAATGAAATGGATTCTCCTTTTTTTTTTTGAGATGGAGTCTTGCTCTGCTTTGCAGGCTAGAGTGCAGAGGCATGAGCTTGGCTCACTGCAGCCTCTGCCTCCTGGGTTCAAATGATGCTGCTGCCTCAGCCTCTCGAGTAGCTGGGACTATAGGCATGTGCCACCAAGCCCAGCTTATTTTTGTGTTTTTTAGTAGTAATGGGGTTTTGCCATGTTGGTCAGGCTGATCCCGAACTCCTGACCTCAAGTGATTCAATTCTCCTTCTTCAAAGTGGCCCACTTCTCTAGGTTTCTCCTGCTACAGAGCATAGAGGGGTTGGAGCCCTGTGCCACCTCCCTCCTCTTGCTCCCACAAAGTATGCTGACAGAATAGACCAGTGCCAGCCACTAAATTGACTGTTCATCAGATGAATGGGTTGTCTTTTTTTTAAGGGTGCTGAGACTGTTCAAGGGCTCTTAGAGGTGGCCAAAGACTCAATCCCCCGAAGTCACTGGAAAAAGACCCCAGTGGTCCTGAAGGCAACAGCAGGACTGCGTTTACTGCCAGAACACAAAGCCCAGGCTCTGCTCTTTGAGGTAAGTTTTAAAACTGCATCTTGGATAATTCTGCCCTTTTCCCTATATGAATACTTTGAGTTTTTAGCCTTTTGGAATGTGACCACTACCTTCAATATTCCACCACTGCCAAAGCACTGTGATGATTCTGACCTCTTGTTATGTATATAGCTAATTATTTACATTTTGAACTATCACTCTTAAATGTATAGAGCTTTTTCTAAAAAATTTAAAGTACTTTCTATCTAGGATAGTCTTCATTCTTTTAACTTTTTAAAGCAGAATCAATTTTTTTAAAATCAACTTTATTAAGATAAACTTACGTACAATAAAATGTATCTATTTTAGCCCCAGCATTGTGGCTCACACCTGTAATCCTAGCACTTTGGGAGGCCAAGGTGGGCAGATTGCCTGAGATCAGGAGTTCGAGACAAGCCTGGTTAACATGGCGAAACCCTGTCTCTACTGAAAATATAAAAATTAGCTGGGCATTGTGGTGCACACCTGTAGCCCCAGCTACTTGGGAGGCTGAGGCAGGAGAATTGCTTCAACCTGGGAGGCGGAGGTTGCAGTGAGCTGAGATCATGCCATGGCACTCCAGCCTGCACAACAGAGTGAGACTCCATCTCAAAAAAAAAGAAAAAATTGTCTATTTTAGGTGAACACTTAAATGAGTTTTGACAAGTTATAGAAATTTCCTCATGCTCTTTCATAGTTTCTCTCACCCCTGAAACCAAGCAATCACTAATTTGCTTTCTGTCACTATAAATAAGTTTTGCTTATTCTTTCTTTTCATTTAAATTGAATCACAGTTTTTATTTTTATTTTTTTGGTCTGGCTTTTTTCCTCTCAGCATAAAGTCTTTGAGAAGAAGAATGGAATTTTAAAGTTTGAATTCTTTTTTTTAGATAATAGTCTTACTCTGTTGTGCAGGCTGGAGTGCCATGGCATGGTCTCAGCTCACTGCAACCTCCGCCTCCCAGGTTGAAGCAATTCTCCTGCCTCAGCCTCCCAAGTAGCTGGGGCTACAGGTGTGTACCACAGTGCCCAGCTAATTTTTATATTTTTAGTAGAGACAGGGTTTCGCCATGTTAACCAGGCTTGTCTTGAACTCTTGAGCTCAGGCAATCCACCTGCCTTGGCCTCCCAAAGTGCTAGGATTATAGGTACAGATGGGAGCCACCACACCTGGTCAAGTCATATATATATATTTTTTTCTTTTTTTTGAGACAGAGTCCCTCTCTGTTGCCCAGGCTGGAGTGCAGTGGCATGATCTTAGCTCACTGCAACCTCTGCGTCCTGGGCTTAAGCAATTCTTCAGCCTCAGCTTCCCGAGTAGCTGGGATTACAGGCACATGCCACCACACCTGGCTAATTTTTGTACTTTTAATAGAGACAGTTTCACTATGTTGGCCAGGGTGGTCTTGAATTCCTGGCCTAAAAGTGATCCACCCACTCCAGCCTCCCAAAGTGCTAGGATTACAAGCATGAGCTATTACACGCAGCCCCAAGTCATATATTTCAAACTCCTTTCTTATTCAAATAAAAAATTTAAGTATAGGGAATTTTGTTAAACTCAGTATTTTTATTTTTATTCTTATTTATTTATTTGAGAGATGGAGACTTGCTGTGTCACCCAGGCTGGAGTACAGTGGTATGATCTTGGGTCACTACAACCTCTGCCTCCCAGGTTCAAGGGTTCAAGTGATTCTCCTGCCTCAGCTTCCCAAGTAGCTGGGGCTACAGGTATGCGCCACCACTTTCAGCTAATTTTTGTATCTTTTAGTAGAGATGGGGTTTCACTATATGTTGCCCAGGCTGGCCTCAAACTCCTACCCTCAGGTGATCTGCCTCCCGAAGCACTGGGATTACAGGTGTGAGACATTGTGTCCAGCCAAACTCAATATTTGTAAATTTTATTGTACATATTTGTTATGCAATAACATGTAAGTTAATAAGATTTAAATTTCATGTTGTGAAGAATATAAGCAGAATCTCATAATAACAAAAAAATCTAGCTGGGTTCAGTGGTTCAAGCCTGTCATCTCAACATTTTAGGAGGCCAAGGCAGGAGGATTGCTTGAGGCCAGGAGTTTGAGACCAGTTCAGGCAACAAAGCAAGACCCCTATTTCTATAAAGAAAAGTAAGGCCGGATGTGGTGGTTCATGCCTGAAATCCTAGCACTATGGGAGGCCGAGGCAGGCAGATGACCTGAGGTCAGGAGTTTGAGACCGGCATGGCCAACATGTTTGAAACCCCATCTCTACTAAAAATACAAAAATTAGCTGGGTGTGGTGGCTCACATGTGTAGTCCCAGCTAGTCAGGGGGCTGAGGCAGAGGAGAATCGCTTGAACCTGGGAGGCGGAGGTTGTAGTGAGCTAAGATCATGCCACTACACTCAAGCCTGGGTGATTGAAAAAAAGAAAATTGAAACTAAAAGTCACAGCAGGCTGGGCACAGTGGCTCACACCTGTAATCCCAGTACTTTGGGAGGCTGAGGCGGGAGGATCACCTGAGGTGAGGAGTTCAAGACCAGCCTAGCTAACATGGTAAAACCCCATCTCTACTAAAAATACAAAAATTAGCCAGGTGTGGTGGCAGGTGCCTGTAATCCCAGCTACTCAGGAGGCCGAGGCAGGAGAATCACTTGAACCCAGGAGGTGGAGGTTGCAGCAAATTGAGATTGCACCATTGCACTCTAGCCTGAGTGACAAGAGTGAAACTCTGTCTCAAAAAAAAAAAAAAAAAATCACAGCAGAAAAGGACTTTGTATTACAGGTGTACTAATTCAGTCCCCTAAATCTGTTTTCCTCTGACTGTCATTACAGAGGACCTAAGTTCCTTATCCAAGGACAAGCAGCCTACTATGTCTCTGTGAGAACCTGAATCCTGATTCCTCATTTATTCAACATAAGAGTGCTTACTATGTACTAGGTGCTGGTGAAGTTACTGGAATACATTCAGCAGGGAACCAAAAAGACAAAAATGGCCTTTGCTTTCCTGGAGCTTACATTCTACTTTCAGGAAGACAGAAAATGAACAACTGAACAAGTCAAAAGAAAGTTATATCAGGTGCTATAGATGCTATGGAGGAAAAAAAAAAAAAAAAACAGGGAAAGGCAGGTAGGGAATCTTGTGATGGTGTGGGGGAAATGCTATTTCAAATAGGGCAGTCAAGGAAGATATCTTTGATGAACTTCAGTTGATCAGGGATTTGAGGGGGATGAAGCAGCAAGTTATACAAGACATTTGGCCGGACACAGTGGCTCACACCTATAATCCCAGCACTTTGGGAGTCAGGAGTCAAGACCAGCCTGACCAACATGGTGAAACCCTGTCTCTACTAAAAATACAAAAATCAGCTGGACGTGGTGGTGGGCACCTGTAATCCCAGCTACTCAGGAGGCTGAGGCAGGAGAATTGCTCAAACCCAGGAAGTGGAGGTTGCAGTGAGCCAAGATCAAGCCATTATACTGTAGCCGGGGTGATAGAGCTAGACTCCGTCTCAAAAAAAAAAAAAAAAAAACATTTGTGGGAAGAATATTCTAGGCTAAAGAAACAACAGGGGCAAAGACCAGAGGCAGGAATTTGCTTGATATGTTAGGAACAGCATCCAGGTCAACATAGCTGGAGAGGAATGAGTGATATGAGAGATAAATGGGAGGTAAAGTCAGAGAGGCAGGGCTAAGGGGTGCTTATCATGTAGGATCTCAAAGGCCAGTATAATCACTTTGCCTTTTTTTTTTTTTTTTTTGAGATGGAGTTTTGCTGTTGTTGCCCAGGCTGCAGTGCAATGGCTCTGTCTCCGCTTACTGCAACCTCCACCTCCCAGGTTCAAGCAATTCTCCTGCCTCAGGTGGGATTACAGGCATGTACCATCACACCTGGCTAATTCTGTATTTTTAGTAGAGATGGGATTTCACCATGTTGGTCAGGCTGGTCTCCAAATCCTGACCTCAGGTGATCGCCTGCACTTTGGCTTTCTCTATAAGAAGGAAGCCATGGCCAGGCTCAGTGGCTCACACCTGTAATTCCAGCATTTTGGGAGGCCAAGGTGGGAGAATCACAAGGTCAGGAGATCGAGACCATCCTGGCCAACATGGTGAAACCCTGTCTCTACTAAAAAATACAAAAATTAGCTGGGCATGGTGGCGCACACCTGTAGTCCCAGCTACTTGGGAGGCTGAGGCAGGAGAATTGCTTGAACCCAGGAGGCAGAGGTTGCAGTGAGCTGACATCGAGCCATTGCACTCCAGCCTGGCACCTGGCAACAGAGAGAGACTCTGTCTCAGAAAAAAAAAGAAGGAAGCCACTGGAAGGTTTTTTGATGGTTTTTTTGTTTGTTTTTAGACAAAGTCTTACTCTTGTTGCCCAGGCTGGAGTGCAATGGTGTGGTCTCGGCTCACCGCACCTTCTGCCTCCTGGGTTTAAGTGATTCTCCTGCCTGATCAGCCTCCTGAGTGGCTGGGATTACAGGTGCCCACCACCATTCTAATTTTTTTGTATTTTTAGTAGAGACGGGGTTTCACCATGTTGGCCAGTCTGGTCTTGAACTCCTAACCTCAGGTGATCCACCCACCTCTGCCTCCCAAAGTGCTGGGATGACAGGTGTAAGCCACCATGCCTGACTGCCACTGGAAGGTTTTGAGCCAAGGAAAGACGTGATTTGACATCTTTTTTTTTTTTTTTTTTTTTTTTGTTAAAAAAAACTCTCACTCCATTGCTGGAGTGCAGTGGCCCAATCTCGGCTCACTGCAATTTCTGCCTCCCAAGTTCAAGCGATTTCTCATGCCTCAGCCTCCCAAGTAGCTAGAATTACACCACACCCAGCTAATTTTTGTATTTTTAGTAGAGACGGGGTTTTACCAGGTTGGCCAGGCTGGTCTCAAACTCCTGACCTCAGTTTTACACGGGGATTACAGGCGTGAGCCACTGTGCTCAGGCAACATCCATTTTTAAAGCGCCATTCTGGCTGCTGTTTTGAAAATAAACTGAAGGATGGGGGAGAAAAGTGGAGGAGGCAAGAGCAGAAACTCTCTTGCTGTGCTTCATCCTGTTTACTTATCTGTCTTTTCTTTAAAAGTTTGTTTATAGATCACTTAACTGGTTTTGCCTGGTTGCAACAGTCCACAGGTGGTCATGTGATATGTTTCATCTCATCAGACATGAGAACAGCAAACAGACTAGAGTTCTTCCTGTTCCTATTTGGAGAATTCTTTTTTCTTTCCCTTGATAATTATATAATTATATAAACATAAGACATAACACCCATATCAGTGGCCTATATTATGGAGATGTAAGATGTTTTTGTAAGATTTTCATTCCCATCTCCTGAAACAGGATTCCTTAAGTCTAGATCTGGAGTCTCCCCATACTCTAGAGGCCCTAGTCATGTGCCAAAATCTGACAGGAGCTGGTAGTAGGATACCTCAGCCCTTAGGTGTGAACTCCTTCACCACGGTGGGTTCATGTCAGCTTATCTAAGGAATGGAGTGGGAAGGCTCCTCCTAGTTTCCAGTATATGTACAGGTAGAGTTCATCAGGTTTAGAAAGTTACAGGGTCCTGATTTGAGCTAGGGTTAAATGTATGCCTTTCCCTAGGTTCAGTTCATTTATACATTTAGATAGTTTGATTTAGCTTTACTTAAAGTCAAAGGAATCCCTATGTTTGTGTTTTTGCAAGAAATTGGTAATGGCTGGCCTAGTTTCTTCTCTCATTTCTTAGGGCAAAGGAATGAGTTTTGCCAAAATTTTATCTAGGGAAAATGGAGTCATTTTCTAAGTCTTATAGGATGCTGTCAAAATATGGAAATCTATTTTATTGCCTTAGGGAATCCTTTTTTAATTTTCCTTTTTCTCTAGGTAAAGGAGATCTTCAGGAAGTCACCTTTTCTGGTACCAAAGGACAGTGTTAGCATCATGGATGGATCCTATGAAGGTGGGAGAAGTGTTGATATGTGTTCCAGTGGGAGAGAGGCAGGGTCAGTGAAAGATCTAACCAGAGGAACTGGGGCCAGGGACAAGGTCCTGAAGAGAAAGGAATAAACAGGAGGAATGAGAAAGCAGGAAATAGACAGGGAGAAGGAAACATGTGCTGTAGACTTGAAATTTAGAGAGAAAAAAACAAGGATAGGTCAGGAAAGAGGAAAAAAAAATGCTCTGGGATGTAATCTTGTCTATCTTTCTTTTTAGGCATATTAGCTTGGGTTACTGTGAATTTTCTGACAGGTAATACATCCTCAATTTTACCTTTAGACCTTAACTAGCTTTTTATATGCATAGTCAGAAGAGTGAAAAGTGCTTTCTTTCATTCTGTATTGTTTCTTTTTCTTTAAAAAAGGAAAAGAGGCTGGGTGTGGCGGTTCATCCCTGTAATTCCGGTGCTTTGGGAGGCTGAGGTGGGCAGATCACTTGAGGCTAGGAGTTCAAGACCAGCCTGGCCAATATGGCAAAAACCCGTCTCTACCAAAAATACAAAAATTAGCTGGGTGTGGTGGTGTGTGCCTGTGGTCCCAGCTACTTGGGAAGTTGGAGAATCACTTCAACCCAGGGGGCAAAGGTTGCAATGAGCTGAGAGCAAAGATTGCGCCACTGTACTCCAGGCTGGACAGTAGAGCAAGACTGTCTCAAAAAAGGAGACTTCAAAATAAAAAAATAACCTGCTTCAAGGCCTCTGCTGCAACGAGAGTCCTGAGTTGACATTCACTTGCAACGTTGGGGCTGGGGAGCAGTGGAATATTTATGGAATACCTTCAGTGTGTGATAAGAGCAAGTGAGACAAGTGTTGGGCTGCCCAGGATGTGGAGGATATTTAGAGCTAGCTCTCATTTGACAGGTCAGCTGCATGGCCACAGACAGGAGACTGTTGGGACCCTGGACCTGGGGGGAGCCTCCACCCAAATCACGTTTCTGCCCCAGTTTGAGGTGAGTCGTTTAATGAAGATCTGGTTAGAGGTGCACTTAGCAGGCATATCATGGTGCCAAGAAAGTGGCACCTGATTTTCAGACAGCAGCTCTACCACAGTTAGGCAGAGTCAGTTAATAACTGGGTGAACATTCCCTTGCCATCTCACCGTTAATCCCTTCAGTTCCTCAAGCCTAGTGAGATTAGCAGCTTAATCTGTCTTCATCTCTGATTTTTTGCTGGGAGGGACGGGATGGTGGTGTGAACATCTTCAGGTAATTACAGATTCTGAATAGTCTTTTTGCTTTTTCTGATTTGCAGAAAACTCTGGAACAAACTCCTAAGGGCTACCTCACCTCCTTTGAGATGTTTAACAGCACCTATAAGCTCTATACACATAGGTGAGGAGGGGGCAGGGAAGAATAATATTTCATGTTGTATGATTCTCCTGATTTTTCAAAGCATTCTCAAGTCTGTTATTGTATTTGATCAGCAAAAACAAAGTCTTTGCCAATTCCCTAAGGCCTATCAACTGAAACCCAAGCTACTTACAAGGCCCAAGGAACCTAAGAGCCTTCTCCATTCTTGATCTTAAAATATATGACTTAAGAGTCAAAAGTTTTTGGCTGGGTGCAGTGGCTTCATTTCTGTAATCCCAGCACTTTGGGAGGCCAAGACGAGTGGATTACCTGAGGTCAGGAGTTTGGACCAGCCTGGCCAACATGGTGAAACCCCCTCTCTACTAAACATGCAAAAATTGGCTGGATATGAGTGTGCACCTGTAATCCCAGCTTCTCAGGAAGCCGAGGCAGGAGAATCGTTTGTACCCGGGAGGTGGAGGTTTCAGTGAGCCAAGATTATGCCACTGCCCTCTAGCCAGGGCGAAAGAGCAAGACTAGTATTTAAAAAAAAAAAAAAAAAAAAAGGCAAATTTTTTCTCTAGACCAGGCACAGTGGCTCATGCCTATAATGCTAGCACTTTGGGAGGCCAAGACGGTTGGGTCACCCGAGGTCAAGAGTTTAGGACCAGCCTGGCCAACATGGTAAAACCCCGTCTTTGCTAAAAATACAAAGGTTAGCTGGGTGTGGTGGCACACACCTGTAATCCCAGCTACTGAGGAGGCCGAGGCAGGAGAATCACTTGAACCCAGGGGCTAGAAGTTGCAGTGAGCTGAAATTTCACCATTTAACTCCAGCCTGAGCAAAGAGCAAAACTCCATCTCAAAATTGTCTAGGGAGAGGACACTTAAAGAAGGCCCAGGCAAAGGTCCTCTCCAGCTCCTTTGAGCTAGCTTTCCGATGTTCAGAATACAGCCTGGAATTTGATCCCAATTGGGACTGGGAGCTAAGCTAAAGAGAGCTTTTCTGGGAATGGTTCCTAGTGTGGGGCCCTAGGAATTGTCAGTGTCTCTGGCCTTTGAATAATAACTATGGGGAATTCTTTCTGCATAGCCTTCATCCAAACTGTGCAGAAGTTACCCCTTGTTGACCATAGGAGATGAATATATCACAGAGACAGAACAAGGTTTTTATCTTTCCAGAGGGAAACGGAAACCATGTTACTTTTGAAAGAGGTAGATTTAGGCTAGAGAACTTCAGGACCAGCATGAAATTGGCCAATCCTGTATTTTACAGTTACTTGGGATTTGGATTGAAAGCTGCAAGACTTGCAACCCTGGGAGCCCTGGAGACAGGTTTGTCTGGGTACCTGTGCCAGGTGGGGGATGGTGAGGGTGACACAGATACTCTGCTTGCTTCTTCCCTTCCTTGATAGCCATTCTGTGGAGGAAAAGCTTATCCTGAATCAGGAAGCAAATGTTATATAATGGACCTAATAACAGCAAATTCCTTTTCTATTTTATAAGTTTAGAAGTTTTGGTGTATATTATTAGCCATTTTTAGAATGAAGTCTACTTGTACAGGGGAACAGCCTATGTCTAGGAGGCTGAAGTGTCTGCAGAAATCCCAGGCTTTAAGAATACATTTGGCAGGAGCTTGCTCAAGCCCTGAGCTTTTACGTTGGAGGCACAGGAAGCAGGGTCTCTTCTACATGCAGGTGGAACAACTGAGTAACTCCATCTCTTCACAGCTGCACTCAGGCAGAACTGGGTTCAGTCCCAGTGTTGTCATTTGAGGCACATTAGTTAAACCTATCTGTGTCCCTTGCCTCACATTAAATGAGAATTTGCATTTAAGGCAGTTTGTACAGTAAGCTTTTATTGGAATGACATCTATTTTGCATTTCGGAGTTTACAAAACATCTTCAAGTGTATTTCATTTAAGCCTCTCAGTAACCAGTGAGGAAGGTAGCATAGCATTTCTTTCCTGTTTTTAGAAAGGTGTGGGAACTTACTCTATTGTAGGTTTTGGATCTCTTTGAGATGTAATGAAATCCACTGACCCCTTTGGCAAAAGCACATGTGCATGAAAATTTGCTTCTGGTTTCAGGGGGTTCACCACCCCCACAACGCCTATCTGTGAATCCTGAGTTAAGGATTTCTGACACAGGATGTGGTCAAGGAATGAATTTCATAAGATTTTAAGGCCCAGCCGCCATGGTGATTCTTTTTCTCCTCACTGGCTTTTTGCTTGCCTTCCTCCCTCTCTCTGACTTACTTACCTCTTACCTTGTGCCCTGGATTCCTTCAGGGACTGATGGACACACTTTCCGGAGTGCCTGTCTACCGAGATGGTTGGAAGCAGAGTGGATCTTTGGGGGTGTGAAATACCAGTATGGTGGCAACCAAGAAGGCAAGTGATGTTTTTTCACTAAAGTTACCTTTACAATGGAAGTTCTGGAAAAGTGCCACAGGAAACTTTTTCCAGAGCTCAAGAGAAGCATATCTTGTTGCAGGGACTTGTTCCAAAGATCTTGGTATGCCTCCAAGGACTAATGTGAAGTGACAGCAAACAAGGCAGCTGTCATTCTGCATCAGCCAAGTGTCATGGACCCATTAGATAACTTGCACTTAGCCAAGTGCTATGGTGCACATCTATAGTCCCAACTACTCAAAGGTTGAGGCAAGAGGATCACTTGAGCCCATGAGTTCAAGGCTATAGTGTGCAATGCCACTGCACTCCAGCCTGGGCAACAGAGGGAGACCCCACCTCTTACAAATTAATTAAGAAACCTATTTTAGCTGGGTGTGGTGACTCACGCCTATAATCCCAGTACTTTTGGGGACCAAGGTGCGCAGATCATGAGTTCAAGAGATGGAGACCATCCTGGCCAACATGGTGAAACCTCATCTCTACTAAAAAATACAAAAATTAGCTGGGCATGGTGGCACGTGCTTGTTCCAGCTACTCAGGAGGCTTAGGCTCGAGAATCGCTTGAACCTGGGAGGTGGAGGTTGCAGGAACCAAGATCGTGCCACCACACTCCACCCTGGTGACAGAGTGAGATTCTGTCTCAAAAAAAAGAAACCTATTCTAAGCCTAGGTCTAATGCAGCAGTGTGAAATCCTATTTGGTTAATGGTTAACTATTTAAAGTATAGTAAAACTTAAAACTGAGATAAGAATGATTTATTGAAGGTATACACCATAATATCAAGAAATGAGGCTGGGTGCGGTGGCTCACGCCTATAATCCCAGCACTTTGGGAGGCTGAGGCAGGTGGATCATGAGGTCAAGAGATCGAAACCATCCTGGTCAACATGGTGAAACCCTGTCTCTACTAAAAATACAAAAAAAATTAGCTGGGCATGGTGGCGCATGTCTGTAGTCCCAGCTACTCGGGAGGCTGAGGCAGGAGAATTGCTTGAACCCAAGAGGCAGACGTTGCAGTGAGCTGAGATTGCACCATTGCACTCCAGCCTGGGTAACAAGAGCAAAACTCCATCTCAAAAAAACAAAACAAAACAAAAAGAAATGAACTTGAATTTCCAGTGAAGGAAGCAGGCGAGCCCTTTAGCTACTTGTTTATAAATGCCAAGGAATGTAATGCTAGGCAGTAGCACGAGGTTGGCCATGGTTTAGTGAATACAGATTAGGCAGGAGAGTGGCCATGGAGAAGCAGAGCCATGAGGCTGCAGACGTTGCTCATCTTTGTTTTGAAGCCTCTTGTCCCAAACCTCAGCCTTCTCCTGCTTTCTTTGACCCTTCTGCTGTTCCCTCATTGTTTCCAGCAGCTCACCTCAGAGAGCGTCCCCTTCCCCCAGCACTGTTCTCACCTTGCCCCTGTGCACCTTTGCCTGGCAGGGGAGGTGGGCTTTGAGCCCTGCTATGCCGAAGTGCTGAGGGTGGTACAAGGAAAACTTCATCAGCCAGAGGAGGTCCAGAGAAGCTCCTTCTATGCTTTCTCTTACTATTATGACCGAGCTGTTGACACAGACATGATTGGTGAGTTCACCCCAGGTGTCAGTCCAAAGAGGAAGGTAGACAGGGCTGTGGTAGGGAAGGTCAAGGAGAAAGAGCACTTGAGGTGCTTGTTGGGGTGATTGCCCACTTCTTCTCAAGTACATTCGAACAAAAGGGTGGAAGTGACTTAGAATCTTTTGGAGGTGAGAGATGACTGAAACAACTATATGAGGTCTTTTTTCTTTTTAACATGCTTATTGAGGTATAATTGGCATAGAATAAGTGTACATTTACAGTATACAATTTGTTTTGTCTCGTATATACCCATGAATCCATCACTACATTGAAAATAATAAACATATCACCCCAAATTTCTTGCTGTCTGTTTATGATCACTTCTTATCACAAAAGTAGTATTTTTTCTTAATTGTGACAGTATATGTATATGATATGTCATGGCCTGAGAGATATGAATTAATTTCCAGTTGTGTTTTATGGGTCTGTTTTTTTCATTGTGGTTAAATATACATAACATGAAATAGATTATAAATAAAATAGGGTGCATAGATTACATTATGTACATGTATATAATGAATTAATTTCCTTATGCTTCCTTGAAGGTATTTTGATATCAGCTAATGTTCTGTTTTATTTCAGATTATGAAAAAGGGGGTATTTTAACAGTTGAAGATTTTGAAAGAAAAGCCAGGGAAGGTGAGTATCGAGGGAAGCCCTTGAAGGCAAGCCTATGAGACTGCCTGCCAACTCTAGTGACCAAAAGCACCTCAGTCAGCTCAGAACGCGTGTCAGAAGACTGGTTTCAGCCAGGTGCGGTGGCTCACGCCTGTAATCCCAGGACTTTGGGAGGCCAAAGCTGGCAGATCATGAGGTCAAGCGATTGAGGCCATCCTGGCCAACATGGTGAAACACTATCTCTACTAAAAATACAAAAATTAGCTGGGCATGGTGGTGTGCGCCTGTAGTCCCAGCTACTTGGGAGGCTGAGTCAGGAGAATTGCTTGAACCTGGGAGGTTCAAGAAATTGTAGTGAGCCAAGATCACACCACTGCACTCCAGCCTGGGCAACAGAGCGAGACTCCAACTCAAAAAAGAAAAAAAAAAGAAGCTTTAGGGAAATGGTGAAGACCTTCTACATTTCTTGCTTTCTTTTTTTAATTGAAATAGTGTTATCAGTATTAATGAAACACTAAGCATCAAAAGACATGGGAAATAGCAACAGAGGCTTCCTTGAGAGACTCAGTCAAAACTACAAATGAGAGGTAGGCACAGTGGCTCGAGCCTGTAGTCTCGGCCAGTTGGGAGGCTGAGGCAGGAGGATCGTGTGAACCCAGGGTCTTGAGGCTGCAAGGAGCTGTGATCATGCCATTGCACTCCAGCCTGGGTGACAGCATGAGGCCTTCTCTCTAAAAAAAAAAAAAAAAAATTAATAAATTTTTAAAAATTAAAAAATAAAATGCAAATGATCTTATCCAGTAGCCCATAATAGGGTTACATAATATTTTCCTGTCTTCTGGGCCTCAGCATTAATCATAGATAAGGGACTTAGAACTAAGCCCCCACAATAGGTCATAGAAACTTAAGCAAATAAACTAGAGCCCACGTAAATTTGAATAGATAATCAAAGCAGAGATGTGCAAGTTCTTAAGAAGCTACAGTCTTCCAGAGGCAGGCAGTGCAGTCTAGTCTCTGAGATGCCTAGGCGTTACCCAAAGGGAGACTTCTGCCTTACTTATTCTACTTCTTCCCTCCCATCTTCTCTTTCTGAGACGGTCTTGCTCTGTCACCCTGGCTGGAGTACAGGGGTGCAATCTCAGCTCACTGCATCCTCTGCCTCCCGGGTTCAAGTGATTCTCCTGCCTCAGCCTCCTGAGTAGCTAGAATTACAGGTGCACATCACCATGCCCGGCTAATTTTTGTATTTTTAGTAGACATGGGGGTTTCACCATGTTGGCCAGGCTGGTCTCAAACTCCTGGCCTCAACTGATCTGCCTACCTTGGCCTCCCAAAGTGGTGGGATTACAGGCATGAGCCACTGCGCCCAAGCCTGCTTATTATACTTCTCAGAGAAAATCCTACACTTCTCAGTTAGTTGCAAACTTGAACTCCACTGTTTACTGTCACTTTTTCAGTGTGTGATAACTTGGAAGACTTCACCTCAGGCAGTCCTTTCCTGTGCATGGATCTCAGCTACATCACAGCCCTGTTAAAGGATGGCTTTGGTTTTACAGATAGCACAGTCTTACAGGTAAGAGACAGGACACCAGAGTCCCATAACAGTCTTCTTTTGTGGAGGTTGAGAAGGAGTAAGAACTTGTTCAGTAATCAGAGTAGCTAGATGTGAAATTATAAGGTATTTTTGTTTGGGCTATGGACAAAGTACTGTGCTGGGCACCAGGAATGTGGGAAATTACCTCCATGTAGTGGTAGCCTCCGAGTATATTACCAGGCAAGCTATCTCAGAGGTCACAGAACAGAAAGACTAGCAGCCGAAATTTAGATGCCAAGTCACATGGTTGATATATTTATTTTTTTGAGACGGAGTCTCTTGTTGCTCAAGCTGGAGTGCAATGGCATGATCTCGGCTCACTACCTTTGCCTCCTGGGTTCAAGCGATTCTCCTGCCTCAGCCTCCCAAGTAGCTGGGATTATAGGCATGCGCCACCATGCCCAGCTAATTTTTTTTATATATATATATATATATATATTTTTTTTTTTTTTGAGACGGAGTTTCGCTCTTGTTACCCAGGCTGGAGTGCAATGGCGCGATCTTGGCTCACCGCAACCTCCGCCTCCTGGGTTCAGGCAATTCTCCTGCCTCAGCCTCCTGAGTAGCTGGGATTACAGGCACGCACCACCATGCCCAGCTAATTTTTTGTAGTTTTAGTAGAGGCGGGGTTTCACCATGTTGACCAGGATGGTCTCGATCTCTTGACCTTGTGATCCACCCGCCTCGGCCTCCCAAAGTGCTGGGATTACAGGCTTGAGCCACCATGCCCGGCATTTTTTTTATATTTTTAGTAGAGATGGGATTTCACCATGTGGGCCAGGCTGGTCTTGAACTACTGACCTCAGGTGATCTGCCTGCCTCGGCCTCCCAAGTGTTGGGATCGCAGGCATAAACCACCATGCCTGGCCTACATGGTTTATTAAAACAATTTAGAACTCAGGATGAGAGGCAAGGGGAAAGAGATGGAGAGGTAAACACACAAGACATGGTGTAAGCAGGATGGAGTGCCCTGCTTTCTGAATCCTGGGTTCCGTTTGTCCTGGGTTGGTATGTCCTGCCTATCTCTGCTGCTGCTGGAGTCGTTACAGGTACTAGAGGTGTAGTTTGCTCATGGGAGCACAAAGACAAAAGGTGCCTGAGGCTCCCACACAAACTTGCCCTATTTGGAGAGGCCCCAGGGGGCAGACATACCTGGCCAGTAGCATTAGCTCAGACTGTAAGATGGGTTTTTTTTGGCGGAGGACGTGAGGGACCAAAAGGGTGTCACCAGTGAGTGGCTTATTTAAGGCCTCATGAATACTGAATGCCTCATGCATATGTCATGTGTCATATATTTCATGTGTGCCTCATATATTTAGTGCCTCTTGAATCTTAGGTCTCTGTCCTATTTCTCTCCATCTGTTTGAGTACATGCAGGCTCTGCTTTATCTGTAGTAAGTTATTTATCCCCAGTTTTGGGCACAGTGATTAGGCTCAATTATATTAGGTTAACAGAACAATCCACTGGTTTACAAACTTTTTTTGATGATGGTGGGATCTTTATTCAACAAAAGCTTATGTAGAGTATCAGTAATACGGCTGGGCCTGGTGGCTGACGCCTGTAATCCCAGCACTTTGGGAGGCCAAGGCAGGGGAATCACCTGAGGTCAGGAGTTCGAGACCAGCCTGGCCAATATGGTGAAACCCTGTCTCTACTAAAAATATAAAAATCAGCCGGGCATGGTGGCGGGTGCCTGTAATCCCAGCTACTCGGGAGGCTGAGACAGGAGAATCACTTGAACCCGGGAGGCGGAGATTGCAGTGAGCCGAGATCACGCCACTGCACTCCAGCCTGGGCAACAAAGAGTGAAATTTCATCTCAAAAAAAAAAACAACAATTCGTAATACAAAACTGGTAAAAGTAGAGCTATTCTAATTGAAGCAGAGATTAGAGGCCTGAAACTCCTCTATCACTTGGCCTCCCTTTTTCCTTTGAGGCATTTCCAAGAAACCACTAAAAATTGATAAACACTAATCCTCTTTTTTTTTTTTTTTTTTTTTTTTTTCTTTTTTTTTGGTGGGGAAAGGGAGTCTTGCTCTTGTCACTCAGGCTAGAGTGCAGTGGTGCAATCTCGGCTCACTGCAACCTCTGCCTCCCAGGTTCAAGCAATTCTCCTACCTCAGCCTCCTGAGTAGCTGGGATTACAGACACATGCCACCACGCCAGCTAATTTTTGAATTTTTTTTAAGTAGAGATGGGGTTTCATTATGTTGGCCAAGCTGGTCTCAAACTCCTGACCTCATGATCCACCTGCCTCAGCCTCCCAAAGTGCTGGATTACAGGCATGAGCCACCACGCCCAGCCCCTCTTCTTACATAGTTAAGGTATTTGGGTCTAAAGTTTTGCATAAGGCTTAGAATGTCTTAAATGTCCTGTTTGGTTATTTTTTTTTTTCTTTTCTTTTGACACAGTTTTGCTCTTGTTGCCCAGGCTGGAGTGCAATGGTGCGATCTCAGCTCACTGCAACCTCCACCTCCTGGGTTCAAGTGATTCTTCTGCTTCAGCCTCCCAAGTAGCTGGGATTACAGGCATGTGCCACCACGCCTGGCTAATTTTGTATTTTTAGTGGAGATGGGTTTCACAATGTTGGTCAGGCTGGCCTCCAACTCCTGATCTCAGGCAATCCACCCGGCCTCCCAAAGTGCAGGGATTATAGACATGAGCCACTGCTCTTGGTCTTTTTTTTTTTTGGAGACAGGGTCTTACCCTGTCACCCAGGCTGGAGTGCAGTGACATGATCTCAGCCCACTGCAACCTCTGCCTCTGGGGCTCAAGCGACCCTTCTACCTCAGCCCACCGAGTAGCTGGGACTACAGGTGTGTGCCACAAGTCCTGGGTAATTTTTTTGTAGAGATGGGGTTTCGCCATGTTGCCCAGGCTGGTCTTGAACTCCTGGGCTCAAGCAATCTACCTGCCTTGGCCTCCCAAAGTGCTTGGTAGCACAGGCATAAGCCACTGTGCGTGGGCCCAGGTTTGGTTATTATTAGTGCTTAGAAAAGGCACCTGCTTACATAGTAGGAGTTGAGAAGCTTTGTTCTTTCCTACTCCTAAATCTATTCTCACCTCCTGATCATGCCCTTTCTACCACATCTATTACCATTACAAGTTGTCTTATCTGAAATTAGTGAATCAGAAAATAAGGCAGGGGATACTTTGTGTAGTTTCACGGTTAAGAAAACAGTTCAGAATATTGTCTGTCTAAAGTATCTCTCTAGAAGGCCTGGAGGGCCATGACCTGGGCCAGAAGCATTCAGTTGAGAGATGAGAATGGCGGATGTAGGGGCAATGGCCAATGGACCATGGCCGGAGGGAAATTGTTATAGTGGGAAGCCTGCAAAGACTGGCTCCTGTCAATTTTACCTTGGTTTGCCCATGTGGTTATTCTTTGTCAATGTTGTCTGCCCAAGAACTATGCTTGCGACAGTTGGAAATTGGATGAAAATGTGAAGACTTTTTTTCTTCTCAACAGCTCACAAAGAAAGTGAACAACATAGAGACAGGATGGGCCTTGGGGGCCACCTTTCACCTGTTGCAGTCTCTGGGCATCTCCCATTGAGGCCACGCACTTCCTTGGAGGCCTGCATTTGCCAACAGCCTTTTTAAGAGGAGGAGAGAGGACTTAGCTTCTGAGCTAGTCTGGGGATACCCTGGACTTGAGCCAAGAGATTTAGATTTAATTAATTTTACACATCTAATGTGAACTGCTGCCTAACCACTCGAATACACAGCTGGCACCAGAGCATCACAGAGAGCCCTGTGAGCCAAAAAGTATAGATTTGGAACTTCACCTTTGAGAGCCCAGGGATAGGCCCCTGGGAACCAAAGAAAAATATCATTTCAACCCTTTGAGTGCCTCATTCTGTTGAATATTTACATTTTCCTCTTAAATGGTAAAGTAAGCCTACTGTTGCAATCCCATTATCTATCAACATCAGTATTTTTTTCCTCCCTATACAGTGCCCTGCCCACCCTCATCTGCACCCACCTCCCCTGAAAAAGAAAAAAATACCTGGTTTTGCTTTCCATATATTTCAACAACACAAAAGGGGACCGTATCAGAATCTGTGTGATCCTATTCTGTGTTAGCTCCAATCAGCTAGCTGAGAGCCATCCTGAGTATTATAGGATGGAGAGTAACTCCTGTGCATAGACTATAGCCTTAAGGAGGCCAGCTAGTCTCTGGGGACATGTTTTGGGAGGGTGTGGCTGCCTCATGTAGCCTACCTTTTCTTTAATCAGCTTTTTATCAGTCAACTCTGGGATTAATAAACATATCCGACTTTATGGGTATGTGTGTATTCAGTGCCAGTACCACCTCCCAGGCTAATGTGTTAACAGTGTTTTCTATAATTCTAAACTCGTTTTCTTTGTATTTCTAAGAAATACAAGTAGACCCTAACTTCTGGTCTGTGGTGAGAGGTCAGTGTCTGTGCTATTCCTGGATCTATTATTTCAGTTAGCCCCTTTATTCTCTTCATTTATAACAGTACCTTCCTGTCCTGGCCCCTGATCAGTTTAGCTAATATCCTCTGAATTATTTATGTAGTTCAGAGTTTCCAACACCGTTCCTGACAAAACCCCACTTGGATATGGTTGGCGCTCCTGGCCCACATCAGTACACTGGACCAACATTTCCAGGGAGAACCATATTTAATGTCCCTCATGTTCTTTTTGAATCAAAGTGGTCAGAGCTCTTGATTGTGAATTATTAATCCCAAATTCATTACCTTGCTTTTTTTTTTTTTTTTTTTAGACGGAGTCTCACTCTGTCACCCAGGCTAGAGTGCAGTGGTGCAATCTTGGCTCACTGCAACCTCTACCCTGCCATGTTCAAGCGATTCTCATGTCTCAACCTCGTGAGTAGCTGAGATTACAGGTGCCCACCACCATTCCTGGCTAATTTTTGTATTTTTAGTAGAGACAGGGTTTCCATCATGTTGGGCAGACTGGTTTCGAACTCCTGACCTCAAGTGATCTGCCTGCCTCAGCCTCCCAAAGTACTGGGATTATAGGCATGAGACACCATGCCCGGCCTTATCTTGCACTTTTGACATTATCATCCCCTCTTCTCATCTGCCCTGTAATGCTCTTGGACCTGGAAGATCTCCCTGTGGTCTGGCCCCTTTGCCTTGGCTCTTAACCTCCAGCTTCTTTCCAGGAGTGTTTTTATTTCCCCAAACTTGTGGCTTTCACAGTAGACTCCCTTTCCATCCTCTCTCACACAAAGGATGTTAAATATGCCTGGCCCTCACACAGTCCATGGAGAGCCTTATTTTTTAACATTACTCCATTGAGTCAATAGTTACCATCTGGTATGTACAAGGAACAAGGCAAATTTCTGTATCCCTGTCCCTGAAATTCTTGTTGTCTTTACTTTGTGGAATTCTCTTCAGACTTCTCACACTGACTTTTATTACTAAGGTCACCTTTATACCAACTGCCTTCCTCAAAAAATCCCTATAATGAAATAACAGAATCTTGAGTTGGAAACAGCCCAAAGAAATAAGCCAATGTTGTACTCAATGCAGAATTCCCTAGAATTTCTAACAGGTTGTCATTCAGCTTCGGCTGAGGCATGTTCAAACAGCTTATTCCACTTGGGACCACACTGATGTTAAAAAATTGCTTATCTTGAGCTGAAAGCTACCTATCTTCTATGTGGTCTTAGTTCTGGCTCTAGTCTCTCCTTCCAAAATCTTTCAGTATTTTGGAAAAAAGCTCCTCCCAAGTTTTTTATGAGTGACATGACTTTTAGACCTCTTTCCATCTTTGTCAAAAAAAAGTAGGGTGCCAGACCAGTCACAGAATACTAAATGTCATCCATGTTTCCTCCAGTAGAAACCAGTAGTTTTACAAGAGGTAATCTGTGGGCTTGGTGCGGTGGCTCATGCCTGTAATCCTAGCACTCTGGGAGGCCGAGATGGGTGGATCACGAGGTCAGGAGTTCAAGACCAGCCTGGCTAAAATGGTGAAACCCATCTCTCTTTTTTTTTTTTTTTTAAATAGAGGTAATCTGTGTTCATTAAAGACTCTTCCAGCTTGACAAATGCAGAGAGGTAGAAATCTCTGGTCTTTAATCACAGCAGGGGCCATTTTGTAAAGCATACATACTGTCCAGCAGACTCCTTTGATCATCCTGTATACCTTCGAACTCTAGGGTAGATGCATATTCTAACTCCAGAAACTTATCTGTATCTATTTTGTTAATTTTGATTAGACCTTCTGGAGAATTAGCCAATTTGTCCATCATACAAACAGTTTGGAATGAGAATTAAAAAAAAAAAACAAAAAAAAAACATTTTTTCTGTAAGGCCCATCCTGCCTGCAGTGGATCCTTTGGGCTTTTTGTTAAGGGGTCCTACAGATTCTAATAGTTTCCTTTTTGCAAATGTGTTGTTAATATATTTAAAATACTTAGGACATGGCCTGGCACATGACAGATGTTGTGTTTAACAACACTGTAATATGAAGAACATCCTTGTGGGTCAATGGAGGTGTGCCTTAAAATTCTTCATCTTGCCCAATTTTGTTTGCATATTTCTGGAGAGTCTGTGTCCTCCTCACCTAGGCCACCTTTCCATTTTTTGTGAAAGATGACCTTGTCCCCAAAGCCTCCACCAGCAGTCACGTAGCTTTTCACAGCAGCTGCCATCTTTAAGTCTTTTTCCTGAGATTCCAGGAAGATTATAACATTGTCACTTTTGTGTGGTAGAATCTTTTAAATCTTCTGCATTTGCCTGAAAAGTGCCCCTGTAGGAACAGATTTCTCATGGCTCTAAAAATTATTCCCAGGAATCCCTTACTTGGTTCAAAAGCAGACTGTTTCTCCTCATTTCATCTTCAAATCAGACTTCTGGGCAAGATGTTCTTTACAGAAAGCAAATCCACGACCTAAAAATCTCTTAAAGAGGCATCTCTGGTCTTGTGAAGAGACCTCTTCAAAAACCCACTGTAAAACTCCCCTCCCTCCAGCTGGCCACCAGTCTGCCACCAAACATGAACAAATTCTGCTGCTAATCAGTTTCCTTTGTGATCTGGTTCCTGAGGTTTTTGGATCTGTGCAATGAATTATTTATTTTATTAAACAGACAATGGTGTCCCAGAGAGGAACCATAAAATGGGAATCTGGTGCTGTGATAAAGTAATAACTAGCATTAATAAGATCTGGTTTTCTTTTCAGCAAGTCCAATGTACCTGTAACAAAGGTTAAAGCAATTTATATTTAATTTGCATTCTGATGTTAATTTTTAAACAGCAGTTCTAACAAAAATGCATCAACTATTTCTAATTCTTACCTCTATCAAAAAACAACTATAAATTTATGACCAGCACTAAATATATATATATATTTCTCTTTAGAAATGATTGTTAACAATTAGAAATGAGTGAGACAGCACCTGATGGGTTGTTTTAGTAATAAAAAGCTCTTTTCAACCAAACTGTAATAGTCTTCCTTCGAAGTTTTTACCTTTGGTCTGGCTAATATACTCTCCTCACAGCTGTCATTATTTGGGTGCCACAGGCCCATTAAGTAAAGAAGAAAAAGAATTCTAATGTAAAGTAAATTTATTAAATTAGATCTTGAAAATATGTATGATGGTCTTGTGGCAGGATGTTCTTTTTCATCAACATGATCTTTAGAAGAGGAGTACTCATTTGCTTGCGAAGGCCATAATCTGTTCCTGGAGAAAAAAGTGAGTGAAACTCTTAACATTGTAAGGTGAAGAAAATAAAGTATCTAAGGTGATCAAAGCAAAAACTTAGCAAAAAACCATGTAGATATCCTTCCCAAGAGTCCATTTTATTTCAGCTAAGAAAATATATACATATATATAAATATACACATACACATTTTGGAGACAAGATCTCGCTGTGTTGACTGGGCTGGAGTGCAGTGGTGTGATCATAGCTCACTGCAGCCTCAAACTCCTGGGCTCAAGCAGTCCTCCCTCCCCAGGTTCCTAAAGTGCTGGGATTACAGGTGTGAGCCACTGCACCCAGCAGAAAAAATATCTTTAAATGGAAGTTCTCAGGGACGAAACTAGCCAAGCAGCAAAAGGAACTGAAACATCTTCATCATTAGAAAACCCTATTCATTATTTTTTTCAAGTGACAGGCTGGGTGACAGAGCAGGACCAAAGTACAGTGATGTGATTATAACTCGCTACAGTCTCAAACACCTGGACTTAAGTGATCCTCTCATCTCAGTCTCCTCAATAGCTAGGACTACAGGCATGCGCCACCACACCCCCTAATAAAGTCCTTATAGGTAAAGTTATTGCTTAGATGTAGGCCGTAACACCTAAAAGCCTAGCAAGTACTTTTTTGCTTATAACCCTTGGGAAGGTAGATACATAAAGGTAATTGTACAGCCAACAAAATTAATTCAAAGAAGTTAAGAGCTGTTTGCAAAGTCATTCCTCTGTGAGCAACCTCTTACCTTGAGTGGAGACGCTGCATTTGTGGCCTGCAAGCCCCACGTCCTGAGCAACACAAGCGGGGCAGCACTGGTGGAATAGAGCCTTTTTAATAAGTCTGTAGCAGCCAGAAGAGCAGTGTTGTGACGCTGTCTGTCTGTTTCATAACCTGTGAGGTGGCTCATGGAGCCTGGAGGACAGAGGAAAGGTTAAATTTCTCATCTATTAATGTTTCCTTTCCTCTTCTAGCAAGTCAGATATATTTTATGTCCACTCCCTCTTGCTACTGTGGGCCATTTTGGGGCCCTGATCTTGCCTAACTATATGACCTCTGGATACTTCTCCATAGTACCTGAATCCTTACCTAAGTCCTTCCCATTGAAGGCTGCTGTACTGAGGTGATGGGCCAAGCTGGAGATATCCCCAAAGCCCATGTTGACACCTTGTCCTGCAAGCGGATGGACTCTGTGGGCTGCATCCCTAAGAATAAAGCAGAGTTCAGGTGAAATCTCTAGCAGCAAAGTGAGAGGTGAGTGGCCCTGCTCTGTTAATCATCTTACCCAATGAGTGCTACCCGAGGCCTGACGTACTCAGCAGCATGTCCCAACCCAAGAGGAAACAGAACTCGGCTTTTGGCATCCACCCTTGCTACGCTTGGGGGCAGCTGGCGAGCCGAGACCTTAGTGGGCTTCAGAAGGCCAACAGCATATTGCAGCATAGCGCCAGCTGTGTCGATGAAGTCCGTGTGGTCAGCATCACTCCACTGAGCAGCATCAGCCACAAGACAAACAAGATGAAATTTGAGTAGCAGGGAATTAAAAATTCAACAAAGAAACCTTGTTTGTAACCAAAGCTTAGGATAATGCTACCTAACTTGCCTACACTGATCTTGATCACAAGTGATAAGCCCCTCAAGTGCAAAGCTCAACTTCCTATCGCTCCCCACAGGTTTTAGGATCAAGCTAAACTGCACATGAGCTGGTCCTTGCCTGCCTCTGAGCTTCACCTTTCACTAGTCCCCACCCTCAATAACCACACGCCGGCCACAGTGTAGCTCATCATAAAATATCCTTCTACCTACATGACTCTCCTCTGCTTAGAATGCCCATCTCTGTATTTCATTAGGATAACATCTCAGAGCATCCAGAAGATGCCACCTCTTTTTGTAACTCCTCCAACTTTTCTGTTTCCTCCTGTATGCTTCCACAGCATCCTATACATACTTCTGTCACTACTGACATTGTCATTTATGGTCTTCCTCACTTGACTAGGAACTTCCTGAAAGCAGAGACCATTCTCAGTATCTCCAGAGCCTGCTACATAGAAAGCACAATTAATGGTGAATGACTGCACTGCAGAGGTCCTAGACCTCTAAGTAGTGATACTCGGCGGGGGTACTGTTCACTATTTATCTTGGAATCACTTAAGTATGTTCAGTTCCTTTTATTCTTCTTGCTACTACACAGCAGTGGAGTCTCGGTTCTTTGTTATGAAGGTAGCAGGCCTTAAGTGTCATTTAGGTTCCAAAAATAATACTGGTACCCATATTATCCGAAGGCTGTGTCTACTCCAGAATAATTAGTATTTGTTGAGGACCTACTATGTACTAAAGATACTCCATGTATTTTTAAAAAGTTCTCTCATTTCGAAAGTCTTTATTCAAAATGAGAAAACTTTTAAAAAATACATGGAATATCTTTAGTACATTGTAGAGAAGTTGGTGATACTATTTCCATTTTTCAGGAAATTAGCAGGTCGAACCAGTATTGAACCCAGATCTGTCTACTAAGCTTACTTTTTAAGCAGCATGCTGAAATTCGCTGAGCCTTTCCCTAGGAATACTTCCAATGAATCAGGCTTTAAAGGTTTAGGTAGGCCAGGTGCAGTGGCTCACGCCTGTAATCCCAGCACTTTAGGAAGCCAAAGTGGGCAGATCACCTGAGGCTGGGAGTTCGAGACAGCCTGACCAACATGGAGAAACCCCGTCTCTACTAAAAATACAAAATTTGCTGGGCATGGTGGTACATGCCGATAATCCTAGCTACTGGGGAGTCTGAGGCAGGAGAATCGCTTGAACCCAGGAGGTAGAAGTTGCAGTGCGCTGAGATTGTGCCACTGCACTCCAGCCTAGGCAACAAAAGTGAAACTCCATCTCAAAAAATAAAGGTTCAGGTAACTGGAACCTAGCAGAACTGTTCAAAATGATCAAAGTGTTGCAGCTTCAAAAAAAGGTCAATGCTAACCACCACCCAGGCAACTGTTTTAGTCAGCCTAACAGCAGCCCCAGACCCTCAAAAGGTTATTTGTTATTTCTATTGTTTTACATTTCCCTGTATGCCCTCCTCCACATAATCCAAACCAACCATTATCATTATGAAGGGACCGATGAATGCTTACTCCTTTTTCCTGACTCAAAACTACTTTTCTGGCTGGGCGCAGTGGCTCATGCCTGTAATCCTAGCACTTTGGCAGGCCAAGGTGGGCAGATCACTTGAGGTCAGGAGTTTGAGACCAGCCTGGCCAACATGGTGAAATCCCGTCTGTCCTAAAAATACAAAAATTAGATGGGCGAGGTGGCATATGCCTGTAGTCCCTGTAGTCTCCTGCTGAGGCAGGAGAATCACTTGACCCTTGGAGATGGAGGTTGTAGTGGGCCAAGATCAAGCCACTGCACTCCAGCCTGGCAAGACTGTCCCAGAAAAACCCCACCTTTCTGTATCTTCCCCTGCAACACATCAGCTGGATAAGTTGGTACTCACAAAGGCGGAGTTAACGGCATCCACAAATTGTTCCTCATCCATGCTAACTAGCTCTGCTGCATGTTCATGGGATGTGGACCAAACCAAGGAACTCAAGGTGTCTGAGAGCTGTGTCAAAAGAACACCAATACCAAGGGCTAAGACTCTTCTGCACTTGGGAGCTCTCAAGCATAAAAAGACAAGAAGGGAACATAAAACTAGCCTGGGAATATTCCCTTGAAACCAGAAAAAGGCTGAGAGAAAGTGAAGAGGAAAGGCTGCATGCATGTGGGCGGACTGGCCAGAAGGATTCTTACCGGGAGCAGAGCAATGGGCCCAGAAGGAAGAAATCTCTGCCAGGCTACGTTGTTTTCCGTGGCCTGCAACAGAGAGGAGAAGAGTTTCTCTGCGAAGTATCTAGTGCCTATGAAGAGTCCCCAGATGGCAGCTCAGGATCTTACCTCTGATAAATGCAGAGTAGCCACAACAGCAGACTGGTCATAGTTCCAGCTCACATTCTGGATTCCAGCAGCCTGTCGTACTCCTGAGTTGTGACCATCTGCACCTATCTGCATGGACACACAAACCTGCTAAATCTTATAGCCTCTTCATAAACTGCTTCAGAAGTTTTTCTCTGCCCCCTAAAGTTTCCTCCAGCTCTGACTGTTGGTGAGCCCACTCTGTGGCAGGATACTTCCATCAGGCCTGCTTCACTCACAGCCCCTAGAGGCGGAGCCCCTGCATTTTGCCACCTCAGCCTTGGCCAACAGAGCCAGAGCTGGACATGACTCAAAAGGTACCAGCTATGGGTTAACTCAGCCAGGCTCTCCTGATATTTGAACTACAGCAATGAGGAAAGTTTCAGTATGGGGCACGCACTAGAGCTGAATAGTTCTGATGTAGGGTTAGGAATGGCTGCCAAGTAAAAAGGGAAGGTTGTGAGCAGAAAGGAGCAAAATGAGAGGCAGGACATCAATGACCACAGACTCCTCAGAGGGAAAGAACAGCCGCCATTCACAAAACTCTGGTGCCTTCCCTGGAAGGCCCAGCTGTCTGTTACTTCACCACCTAAGACAGCCCATGAGATTGCTTCCTGTGTAGGATTTACGACGAGAGCATCTCAACCTGAGTTGGCTTGAATGGGTACTGTCTTTATAACCAAAAGCTTTGCCTAAAATTAAACTATAGCTTAGATCTAAAACCTGAGGCCCTAGAATCTAGGATAAGATGTAGATATACAAGACCCCTAGCAAAATAAGAATCAACTACCAACAATTTGGTCTGGAAGGTGCTGCCATCACCTAGGGTAATATGAACCCAAGGGCTGCAGTCTGCCATAGGAAATGGACAAGGCCAGGTATAGCGAATGGCTTTGCTCCTGTAGAGAACCGTCACTCGGTCTGGGGAGGTCAAAAGAGAGAAAAAAAAAATTAGAAAGGTGGGCTACATAGGCTGAGGAAAAAGCTATGGCTAAATGTAAAGCAAGGTCCCAGGACAGCAGTGTCTTGATAGTTAAGATTAAAAAAAAACAAAAGTAATTAATGCTGTGGTCTGTGAGCTAATAATAATAATAAATGACAAGCCACAGAGATGACTCAATGTCAAAAAAAAAAAAAAAAAAAAAAAAAGGCATTTAAGTTCTCAATGAACTCTGTCAGAGGCAGTCTTTCTTACGGTCCACATGCTTCTGCACCTCCATTTTTACCCTACACCTAAATGAGCCCATGTGTGCTTTCACAGTAGACAGGCTGGGAACACCGTAGGCTGAAACAAATCCTATACAAGATTTTCTTCCAGCTGGAAATCATTTTATTTTTCTGGTCATAAAAACAATATGCTCTGTGGCCCCAGGCCTACTGTAACTACTGTGAGATACCACTTCAGTCTCACTAGGATGGCTACAATTTTTTTTTTCTTTTTTTTTTGAGACAGAGTCTTGCTCTGCCACCAGGCACCAGGCTGGAGTGCAGTGGCGTGATCTTGGTTCACTGCAACCTCCACCTCTGGGTTCAAGCAATTCTCCTGCCTCAGCCTCACCAGTAGCTGGGACTACAGGCACGCACCACCATACCCAGCTAATTTTTGTATTTTTAGTAGAGACAGGGTTTCACCACTGTTGGCCAGAAAGGTCTTGATCTCCTGACCTCATGATCCACCCGCCCTGGCCTCCCAAAGTGCTGGGATTACAGGCGTAAGCCACTGCACCCAGCCAATTTTTTTTAAAAAAAAGGAAAATAAGTGTTGGCGAGGTTGTGGAGAAATTGGAATCCTTATATACTGGTGGGAAAGTGAAACTGTACAGCCTCTTTATGACAAGACCATCTCAACTTGAGCTGGCTTGAATGGGTACTGGTCCTTATGACCAAAAGGTTTGCCTAAAATTAAACTATAGCTTAGATCTAAAACCAGAGGATTTAGAATATATATCAGAATATATAAAGAACTCCTACAACTCAAAAAGAGAAATAATCCAATTTAAAAACAGGCAAAAGATTTTCAACAGACATTTCTCCAAAGTGGATACACAAATGGCCAGTAAGGACATGACCATATATACATCAATATGCTGTATGCACCCAGGCACGCGTAGCTAACACTTTTAATCCCAGCAATTAGGGAGGCTGAAGCAGAAGGATCACTTGAGCCCAGGAGTTCAAGACCAGCCTGGGCAACATGGTGAAACATCTCTACAAAAAGTCAGCCAGGCGTGATGGCATGTACCTGTAGCGCCAGTTCGTCAGGAGGCTGAGGAGAGAGGACTGCTTGAGCCACTGCACCCCAGCCAGGGAGGACAAAGCAAGACCTTGTCTCAAAACAGAACAAAACACTCTCCAAAAACATCAGACTATACATCATTTACAGCTTTTTCTATGTCAGTCAGTCATACCCTCAACAAGGCAATTTAAATAATAATAGTGAGCTAGCTGTAAAAGTTTGGAAGACAAAGGTTAAGTGGGGCGGGGTGGAATGACCTTAAACTAGTCAGAGACAACTGCAGTTACAGCTTTGGTGTATGGCTTTCCTATGCATGTACATGCACACACACGCAAGTGTGATCATATGACCCAATATATTACAGAACAAATTTCTAAGTTATTAAATTTTAGATCCAAATTATCTTTAAAAGCTGCATCATGGTTCATTACATGAACTACTATCCAAAATCAAAAAGCATTTAAGTTGCTTCCAATTTTTCTCTCTCTAGAACACCAAGATATTTGCAAATCACATAACTGATAAATTTATATTCAGAATATGTAAAGAACTGTAAGTCAACAACAAATAATCCAATTTAAAAACAGGCAAAGATTTTGAACAGACATTTCTCCAAAGTGGGTACACAAATGGCCAGTAAGGACATGAAAAGATACTCAGCATCATTTGTCATTAAGGAAATGCAACAACTACCATGAGATATCACTTCACTCTCACTAGGATGGCTACAATATTTTTTTTCTTTTTTTTTTTGAGATGGAGTTTCGCTCTTGTTACCCAGGCTGGAGTGCAATGGCGCTATGTCGGCTTACTGCAGCCTCCGCCTCCTGGGTTCAAGCAATTCTGCTTCGGCCTCACGACTAGCTGGGATTACAGGCATGCGCCACTATGCCCAGCTAATTTTATATTTTCAGAAGAGATAGGGTTTCTCTATGTTGGTCAGGTTGGTCTCAAACTCCTGACCTCAGGTGATCCACCCGCCTCAGCTCCCAAAGTATTGGGATTGCAGGTGTGAGCCACTGCGCCCAGCCAGCTACAATTTTTTTTCTAAAAAAGGAAAACAAGTGTTGGTGAGGATGTGGAGAAACTGGAACCCTTATATACTGGTTGGAAAGTGAAATTGTACAGCCTCTTTAGAAAAAAAGTTTGGCAGCTTCTGAAAATGCTAAACATAGAATTATTATATGACCCAGCAATTCCACTTCTAAGTATCCAGCCAGGAGAAATGAAAACATGTCCACACAAAAACTTGTACACAAATATTCACAGCATTATTTATAACTGCCAAGTGGAAACAGCCCAAATGTCTATCACTGACGAATGGGTAAGCAAAATTTGGCATATCCACAAAATGGAACGCTATTCAACAACAAAAAGGAATCAAGCTGATACAAGCTACATGGATGAATCTCAAAAATACTATGCTCAGTGAGGAGTCAGACACAGATGAATACATGTTATATGACTCCATCATATGAATTGTCCTGAATAAGAAAATCTAGAAAGACAGAAAACAGATTAGTAGTTGCCAGGGGCTAGGGGTGGGAATGGAGAATGAATAAATGGGTTTCTTTTTGAGGTGATGGTTGTGGAACTCTATAAATACACTAAAAGTTACTGATTTGTACACTTAAAATGGGTGAATTTTATGGCATGCATAACTGAATAAAACTGTTTTTTTTTTTAAAAAAACAATCCTGGCTGGGTGCGGTGGCTCACACCTGTAATTCCAACACTTTGAGAGGCCGAGGTGGGCAGATCACTTGAGATCAGGTGTTCAAGACCAGCCTGGCCAACATGGTGAAACCCTGTCTCTACTAGAAATACAAAAATTAGCCAGGCGTGGCGGTGGGTGCCTGTAATCCCAGCCACTTGGGAGATTAACACAAAAAATCACTTGATTGCGCCACTGCACTCCAGCCTGGGCAACAAGAGCAAAACTCCATCTCGAGGGGGAAAAAAAGAACAACCATGAAATAATCATCAGAGGATTTCTCTATGGTGGACACTGAATATCTGTAAAAGAGATCCTTTCTTCCAGTAAGTCCTAAGCAGTTCACTTCCCAATGAATGCAAGATGGAAGATGGGGGCCTCACCAGACACAGCCTCCAGCTGCTTAGTGAGAGCATGCATGATGACATCATTCTCCACGATATAGCCCATGTCATCTAAATTATCCTTATCAAACATTATCAGGGCCTCTGAGCAGGCATCCCACACCTGGAAACAAAATGAGAGTTTGCATTAAGACCAAGAAGGAAACATCACTCCAATCAGAAACAATATTGCCTTCCCAAGTGACCGAGCAAAAAACCACAATTTGTCAGCCTCCCTGGCAGAAAAATATAAAATAATACAAAAATTCTCCTGGGAATGCTTCTCCCCACTTCCTCGGACTGAATGTGAACCTTGTCTGATTCCTCCTACATTCACAGAACACTTGGGAGAATGTGGACTCGGATATCTTAACACAAGACTGACCAAGACATCTTAACGAAATTGAAAAAGATAAAGGGGCACCTGCATTCGCCGAAAAGCTCTGTATCTCATGTTGCAGATATGGTCCCAGGCACCAAAACCTACAAAAGAAAGGACCTGTAGACCAGAGTGACCTCACAGAGACCTGGGCTTCCCCTTTGTCCCTCCATCCTGTTCCATAGGAGGCTGTTTTCAGTGTTCTTTAATAATACTCTCCACTTCTATTTTGTTTGATGTTAGTACCTAAGCTACTCTGTTCCCCAGTTCTAGCATGAAAAAAGACCCAGCTTCCATGATCAAAAGGCCAACTTCATATAAAGGGGAAATAAAAAAAGAAAACCAAACCCATATTGTTCTTTATCTTCATCATCTTATTGAAATTATAAACTTCCTAAAGACAATTTTAAAAAAATTATTTTTACAAAGTGATTTCTAATAACTTGAAACTTTTTTTTTTTTTTTTTTGAGACGGAGTTTCGCTCTTGTTACCTAGGCTGGAGTGCAATGGCGCGATCTCGGCTCACTGCAACCTTCGCCTCCTGAGTTCAGGCAATTCTCCTGCCTCAGCCTCCTGAGTAGCTGGGATTACAGGCACGTGCCACCATGCCCAGCTAATTTTTTTTTGGATTTTTAGTAGAGACGGGGTTTCACCATGTTGACCAGGATGGTCCCGATCTCCTGACCTCATGATCCACCCGCCTTGGCCTCCCACAGTGCTGGGATTACAGGCGTGAGCCACTGCACCCGGCTTTTTTTTTTTAAGATACAAGGTCTCAGTATGTTGCCCAGGCTAGACTTCAACTCCCACGCTCAAGCAATTCTCCCATCTTAGCCTCCCAAGTGGCCAAGACTACAGGTACACATGACTGTGTCTGGCCTATTTTTTATTTTTCAGTCCTTCACAGCACTGAACAGATTCATTCATTGGGGAACTATTTACCGAGCACCTACTATGTGCCAAATACAATAGAGTGGGAAAACAAATGGACAAAGTCCCTGTACTTCTGCAGTTGACATTATAACTGGAGAGATGGACAATAAAAAACAAACACATAATATAATGCTAGGTAGTAGTAAGCATTATGAAAAAAAAAAAAAGCAGAAAAAAAGGCTAGAAAGTGACGGAAGAGTTTAATTTGAGATGGTGTGGTTTCAGACAGGATGGTCTGAGGGAATCATCTAGCAGACCGAAGGAAAATTTGCTCAGTGGCTCCATGTGCACACATTCATCTGCACCCCAGGAACATTTCACATGCAAGCTCCTTAGCTTGCTAGAGGGCTTGACTCAGGATGAAAAGGGCACTGCTATTCAAAGTGCATGTTCATAATTAGTTCATATGATTTCACTTCCACCAATTCATAATGACACAACATCACAAGTGAAGTCAACATGATGGACCCACATGCCTCAAGAATGTATTCCTCAGACAGGGAGTTGATTCAGTAGCAATTTCGACTATGCACAAGACTGCCAAACCCACCCCCTTTTCTCCACCCACCTCAGTGAGCTCCCTCCTTGTGAGATGCTCTGATGACTCTGCCCCATGGGACATATTAGGACGCTGAGGGGGAAAGGAGATTGGATCTTTGAAGGAGGATCTTCTACTCACTACTGAGAAGCGTTGCAGAGCCAGGGGAAATGGAGCTGACCCTGTTGCTATAAGTTTCTGACAATTTCTCCAATACTTTCTTTGGACCTGCTTCTAGCAACAGGATTTTCTTGTCATGAAAGTGAATGTCATATCCTAAAAAAAGAAAAAAAAGCAAACATCAAACATTTTGTCATTTTAGTAAAATCAGTTTATTTCCTTTCCCATTACCAAGAGAAACAACAGAGTAACTACTTAACCCTTAGAATATGAATTTCTTAGAGTACATAAACACTATACCCATGCAGAGTCCTAAGCAATAACATACACCACCATGTCAGTCATAAGAAGCACGCTGCCCACAACTGTAAGCCTTCTCCAAACACCACTACATGCCACATGCCAAGAAGCAAAAAGCAGCAAACACATAACTAGCAAACAGAACGCTCTAGAAGGGAAAAATGAAGACTACAGTATTTAAACACCAGTTATTTCCTGTCTCCAGAGTATTAAGTCACTAAAAATTACAACTCCTGGTCAAAAGAAAAAGTGGAGTAAATAAGCAAAATTCAATGCAGTCTGAAGATTAAACCAAGAATAAAGAATTAGAGTTTATAAAGGCTAGGTGTGGTGGCTCACGCCTGTAATCCCAGCACTTTGGGAGGTCAACACAGGTGGATCACCGGAGGTCAGGAGTTTAAGACCAGCCTGGCCAACATGGTGAAACCCTGTCTCTACTAAAAATACAAAAAAAAATTAGCCAGGTGTGGTAGCAGGCTCCTGTAATCTCAGCTACCTGGGAGGCTGCACCAGGAGAATCGCTTGAACCTGGGAGGCGGAGGTTGCAGTGAACTGAGATTGCGCCACTGCACTCCAACCTGGTCAAAAAGACTGAAACTCCATTTCAAAAAAAAAAAAAAAAAGAAAAATTAAGAGTTTATAAAAGAAAAAGGTGGCCCAGGTATGGTGGCTACGGTGGCTCATGCCTGTAATCTCAGTATTTTGGGAGGCTTAGGTGGGAGGATCATTTGAGCCCAGGACTTTAAGACCAGCCTGGGCAACATGGCAAGACCCTGTCTCCACAAAAGAAAAAGTTTTTAAAAAACTAGCCAGGTGGCCGGGCGTGGTGGCTCATGCTTGTAATCCCAACACTTTGGGTGGCCTAGGCAGGTGAGGTCAGGAGTTTTGAGACCAGCCTGGCCAATATAGTGAAACCCTGTCTCTACTAAAAATACAAAAATTAGCTGGGCATGGTGGTACATGCCTGTAATCCCAGCTACTTAGGAGACTGAGGCAGGAGAAATCATTTGAGCCTAGGAGGCGGAGGTTGCAGTGAGCCAAGACTGCGCCACTGCACTCCAGCCTGGGGAACAGAGCGAGACTCCCGCTAAAAAGAAAGAAATAGCCAGGCATGTTGGCACACCTGAGCCAAGTTTGTGCAACTGCACTCCTACCTGGGGGACAGAGCAAAAGCCTGTCTCAAAAGAAAAAAGAAAACAAAGAAAGTAGCAGTTACTATTAATTTTTTTTCTTTTTGAGATCTCGCTCTGTTGCCCAGGCTGGAGTGCAATGGCGCGATCTCAGTTCACTGCAACCTCCATCTCCCGGGTTCTAGCAATCCTCCTGCCTCAGCCTCCCAAGTAGCTGGGATTACAGGGGCATGCTGCCACCCTGGCTAATTTTTTTGTATTTTAGTAGAGGCAGGGTTTCACTGTGTTACCCAAGCTCAGGCAATCCACCCGCCTCAGCCACCCAAAAGTGCTGGGATTGCAGGAGTGAGCCACTGAGCCCAGCCCATTTTTTTTTTAACTTTAAAAGATTAGGTCAGACAGTGGCTCACGCCTGTAAACCCAGAACTTTGGGAGACAGAGGAGGATGGATCACTTGAGCTCAGGAGTTCGAGACCGCCTGGGCAACATGGTGAAATCCCATCTCTAATAAAAACAAAACAGCCAGGTGTCATGGCGGGTGCCTGTGGTCCCAGTTCCTAGGAAGGCTAAGACATGAGAATCACTGGAACCTAGGAGGCAGACGTTGTAGTAAGCTGGGATCTGGCCACTGCACTCCAGCCTGGGCGACAGAGGTGACAGAGCAGAGACTAACCCCAAAAAAAAAAAAAAAAAAAGATCCAGCCATACAGACAGCAAGCTTTTGCTGTGGAGGATGGGGCACACGGACATGCTCTGTAGAGGGCACTGTCTTTCTTTTTTCTTTTCCTGAGGCAGTCTCCTTTTGCCCAGGAGTGTAGTGGTATGATCCCAGCGCACTGCGACCTCCACCTCCCAGGTTCAAGTGATTCTCACGCCTCAGCCTCCCAAGTAGCTGGGACTACGGGTGCGTACCACAATGCCTAGCTAATTTTTTGTGTTTTTTTTTTTTTTAGTAGAGATGGGGTTTCACCATGTTGGTCAGGGTGGTCTCAACTCCTGACCTCAGGTGATCCACCCGCCTCGGCCTCCCAAAGTGCTGGGATTATAGACATGAGCCACTGTGCCTGGCCAAAGGGCACTGTTTTCTAGTCCCACATACCTCTGCCCTTAATCTAAGGCAAGCTTGTCCAACCATGGCCCAGGATGGCTTTGAATTCAGCCCAACACAAATTCATAAACTTTATTAAAACATTATGAGACGTGTGTGTGTGTTTAAGGTCATCAGCTATTGTTAGTGTTTTTTATGTGTGACCCAAGACAATTCTTCTTCCAATGTGGCCTGGGGAAGCCAAAAGATTGGACACCCTGATCTAAGGTCAGCTGCTCCACCCTATGATCCTCATCTCACAGGATATGCAAAATTTAACTTAAAGCAGATCATACATTTCTGTAACAGCTAAATCCATAAAATACTTAGAAAAAAGCCCAAGTAGTAAATCTTTGTGACTTTCTTAGCTATGACACCAAAAGCACAAATGATAAAAAGACTGATACACTGGACTGCATCAAAATTTAAAGCTTTTGTGCTTCAAAGAACATTATCAAGAAAGTAAAAAGACTATAAAATGGAAGAAATATTTGCAAGTCATTTATCAGATTAGGGACTTGCATACAGAATAAAATAATGGTTAGGCAGGGTTGCTCATGCCCGTAATCTCAGCCCTTCGGGAGGCTGAGGCAGGTGGATTGCTCAAGCCCAGGAGTTCCAGACCAGCTTGGGCAATATAGTGAGATCACATCTCTCCAAAAAAGAAAAAAAAAAAGAGAAAAACCAGCCGCGTGATGGTGCATGCCTGCAGTCCCAGCTACGTGGGAGGCTGAGGCAGGAGGATCAATTGAGCCCGGGAGGTTGAGGCTACAGTGAGCTATGATCGTGCCACTGCAGTGTAGCCTGGGCACAGAGTGAGATACTGTCTCAAAAAAACAAATAAAAATAAGTTAAAAACCGTGCAAAGGGTCTGAACAGGCATTCCTCCAAAGAAGATACACAAATGACCAATAAGCATCTGAAAGGATATTCAACATCGTTAATCATTAGGGAAATACAAATTAAAACCAAGATCCCACCTTACACCCAGTAAAGACAATGACAAGTACTATCCAGGATCTGGAGAAACTGCAACTCTCATATATTGAAAAAACCCTGGAAAGGCCTGTTTTCCCATGAGTAGGACTCACTCAGAACGCCCCTCCCACTTTTGACCCTAGGGGACCCTGAACGACCACACGCATTACGACCGGCCCTGGGGTTCCTCTAGGAGGGTAGGGGAGAAGTGTCGCGAGACCCGAGCACCTGTCTATGGGCAAGCAGTGCTAGGGCCTCCACGGCTCTCATCGTGCCTCTGCGGCCCAGTTCCCCGACACTAGTAGCCTGGAGGGGAGCTTACCCAAGGCACAGGCCATGGCAGCTCCCACCAGGCCTCCACCCGACACCACCACGTCGTACACAGTGTCTGTTGAGGCGCCGGACCACCTGCGACAGGACACTAGCAGGCCGCTGCGGGCAGCTGCACGCACAGCGTCCCATCGTCTCACAAACCTGGCCGCCATGGTGCAGACGTGCGCGGTAGCACTCGGGACCCCAGCAGGCCCACCTAGGCAGTGCTTCCGGAGCAGAACCCTCCAACCCCGCCCCGCTTCAGCGGCGTCCTCAGAACCGGAAATAAAATACACGAAGAGAACAGGCCAATCGGAAAGCGAACCTTGCGGGGGGTGGGGCTGCCCTGGAAGCCAATCAGACACCAAAGCTAGAAAGAGGTGGACCCTGGCCCCTATAGCTAGCGCTGCCACCATCGCTGTCACCGTCGCTGCTGACTCTGCCCAGCTGAAATGACCGTGGAGAGGACTGAGGGAGGCCCCGGCGGCGCGGAGGGGAGCCGTCAGGTGAGGAGAGAAAGAAAACAGAGGAAGCAGCACTGTCCCCCGGAAAGAAATCCCAGAGAGGAAACTGTTTGGCGTTGCCTTGGCGACAGACTGGAGGGGCGTGGGATTAAAATGACCGTTTAGAGACCGAGAGGCGGACTCTGACTTGGAGACCTGTACCTCTTGGACCTTATACGCGGCTCTTCATAGGACCATAGCAATGTCACTCAGTTTTCGCTTATCCTCTCAGTACTCTTTGATCAGTAGTACAATTGCCGTCCCATTTTTGTAGAAGAGAAACCTCAGGCACAAAGAGGTTAAGAAAATTGCCCTCAAATGTGGCCGAGCGCAGTGGCTCACGCCTGTATTCCAGCACTTTGGGAGGCCGAGGCGGGTGGATCACCTGAGGTCAGGAGATCGAGACCAGGCTGGCCAACAGGGCAAAACCTCATCTCTACTAAAAAAAAAAAAAAAAAAAAAAAAAAAAAAATTTGCTTGGCGTGCTGGCGGGCATCTGTAATCCCACTTACTTGGGAGGCTGAGGCAGGAGAATCGCTTGAACCCAGGAGGCAGAGGTTGCAGTGAGCTGAAATCACGCCATTGCACTTCAGCCTGGGCAACGTAAGGAGACTCTGTCTCAAAAACTAACTAAATAAAAATAATTAGCCGGTGTGGGCGGGGTGTAGTAAAAATAATAATAATAATTATCCACCGGGCTCACGCCTGTAATCCCAGCACTTTAGGAGACCGAGGCAGTTGGATCACGAGGTCAGAAGTTTGAGACCGGAGCCTGGACAACAGGGTGAAACCCCATCTCTACCAAAGATACAAAAATTAGCTGGGCGTGGTGGCGCAGGCCTGTAATCCCAGCTACTCAGGAGGCTGAGGCAGGAGAATCGCTTGAACCTGGGAGGCGGAGGTTGCAGTGAGCCGAGACTGGGCCATTGAGCTACAGCCTAGGCCACGACTGTCTCCAAAAAAAAAAAAGTTTAGAATAATTAGCCAGGTGTGGTGGCGTGTGCCTCCAGTGATCCACGAGCTTCAGCCTCCCAAAATGCTGGGATTACTCCCAAAGTGAGCCACTGCGCCTGGCTGACCCCAAATTATTAAAGACAGAAAGTAGTCTGGTAGTTGCTTAGGGCTGGTGGGGTGTGGAGGGTTAGGGGAAATAGGGAGTGAGTACTAAAACGTATGGAGTTTCTATTTTTTTTTTAATTTTAATAAATGTAAATACATAATAATAAAGAGGCACCGGCCTCCCCGGCCCAGGCAGAGGGGAGGCCTGGAGTTTCTTTTAGGGGCTATGAAAGTGTTCTAAAACTGTGATGGTAATTGCACAACTCTGTGGGTATACTAAAAACCACTGAATTGTCCACTTGAAATGAGTGAATATATTGTAAATAAATTATATCTTAATAAAGTTGTCTTTTAAAAAAAGAGAAGTTTGCCCAAAAGATCGCACATTCTTCAGTAGAAGAGTGAGGGCTAGGATGCATACATACCTCTGACTCTTACCCTGGATTTTAGTAAGGCTGGCTCCTCATCAGTCAGGTGTCAATTCAAAATTTCTCCACAGTGAAAAATAAAAATCAGGCCAGGACTGAGAAGGTATAACTCAGACTGTCATAGGCACAGATAATGCCAACAGCAAGAGCATCAGAACACAGTGATTCTCTCAGAGCCATACCATAGGTACACCCCTTCTTCCAGATGATAATGCTTACTGATCAATTACCCACCCTATATTATTATTCTCACCTTTTGAATAAGAATTGCTGTTAGGCAGGGTGCAATGGCTCACACCTGTAATCCAGCACTTTGGGAGGCCAAGGCAGGCGGACCACTTGAGCTGAGGAGTTCAAAACCAGCATGGGCAACATGGTGAAACCCCATCTCTACAAAAAGTACAAAAATTAGCCAGGTGTGGTGGTGCGTGCCTGTAGTCCCAGCTACTCAGGAGGCTGAGGTGAGAGGATCATCACCTCAGCCCAGGAGGTTCAGGCTGCAGTGAAGCATGATTGCACCACTGCACTCTAGAACCTGGGTAACAGAAAGATCCTGTCTAAAAAAAAAAAAAAAAAAAAAACTGCTTGGGTCAGGCACGGTGGTTCATGCCTGTAATCCCAGCACTTTGGGAGGCCAAGGCAGGTGGATCACGAGGTCAGGATTTCAAGACCAGCCTGGCCAAGCTGGTGAAGCCCTGTCTCTAATAAAAATACAAAACAAATTAGCAGGCACCTGTAATCTTAGCCACTTGGGAGGCTGAGGCAGAGAACTGCTTGAACCTGGGAGGCGGAGGTTCCAGTGAGTCAAGATTGCATCACTGGACTCCAGCCTGAGTGATAGAGACTCCATCTCAAAAAAAAAAATTGCTCATTCATTCACTTACTAAATTGTCCCCACTTCATGATAGCACCATTCCAGAGTTGATACCTGGTTCCCCGAATAAATCAGGAAAGCGAACCCTATAAAAATCACACCCCCACCCTAAGTTCCCTATGGTTTTCCATGGTGTCCTGCAGCAAATTAATAAACCTAACTGATGTACTGATTACAGGTGCATTTTTAGTAGCCTTAACCTGATGGACTTTATCAACCAAAAAGCTTTCCATAGGCACTCCAACTTTTTATAATCTCATGGTAGTTTATGGTTTTCACAGAATTTATTATCATCTTATATTGTCTGTCTCCTCTCACTACAGTGTAAGCTTCATGAGAGTAAGGACCTTGTTTGTCTTGTTCTCAGCTAAATGCCCAGTGCACATCAGGCACCCAGTAAATACTTTATGAATCAATGGAGTACTGAAAAAGTTAATTGGCTGTCCCACTTTTTAGGACATTGCTCTTACAGCCAGACCATACCGTCTCTCTTACTAATCATCCATTCCTTTTTTTTTTTTTTTTTTTTTTGAGATGAAGCTTCACTCTTGTTTTCCAGGCTGGAGTGCAATGGCACAATCTCATCTCACTACAGCCTCCACCTCCTGGGTTTAAGCGATTCTCCTGTCTCAGCCTCCCAAGTAGCTGAGACTACAGGACCCCACCCAGCTAATTTTTGTATTTTTGTAGAGACGGGGTTTTAGCATGTTAGTCAAGCTGGTCTCAAACTCCTGACATCAGGTGATCTGCCTGCCTCAGCCTCCCAAAATGCTGGGATTACAGGTGTGAGCACTGTGCCCAGACTTCATCCATTCCTTGACAGAGTGCAGATTAGCTAGAATGCGAGGAAAGCAGAGAAGTAGAGACAAGGAAAGGGGGAGAAGGAAGATGAGCAAGAAGTGAGTAAAACCCAAATAAGGCAGTGTGGCCATTGCCACACTGTCACGGGCAGGATTCCTGGAGTGCAGGGGTCAGAATGCATGGTGCAGCTGAGGTACTGTATGGCGCAGGGAACCAACTTCAGCTCTTCATTCCCCTTCCTTCCCTTCAACCAAGCACACTTCATAGACCAAGTTGTGAAATTTCTTTAGAGCAAGAAACACAGCTTATTTTTAAAAATTCCTCCCCAGTCCCTAACATACAGAGGCTTATTCAAAGTGAAATTGTTATGTTTTGAATAACTTTGAAATTATTGTTTGACCCACAGTCTATTTCTATTCTATTTTAGATATTTCCCCCCAAATCCTCCTCGGACACAGAGGCAGGAGAGGAGCTGTCTGGGCATGGGCTGGTTTTGCCCAGGGCTGGCAAACTTAATGAGTTCCTCAGCCCAGAGGAGGAGATAGATTCTACTTCTGACTCAACTGGGAGCTTTTACCAGACCTTACATGTACTAAAGCAAAAAGTCAGACCATGTCTGTTGGAGTCTCTCTTTCAGTCTGACCCAGATAGTGATGAAAACCTCTCTGAAGATGAGGAGGACCTGGAGAGTTTCTTCCAAGACAAGGGCAGAGGGAAGGTGCAGGCCCAGTGCGCCCAGGCTCTGAGGTAAGGCACTGCAGTCGCACCACTGCCTCACGCCACACCTCCACACAGGTCACACCATGTCTCTGGGCTTCATCTTCTTCTGTAAAGCAAAGAGCACTTCTGCAAGTTGCCATTTACTGAGGCTCCAGCTCACAATCAACTTTTGGCTCCAAACAGGGGTTCTGATTACGCCCCAGGAATCCTAAATCACTTTGGGCAACACTTAGTCCAGGGATGCACTGAAACTAATTAAAGGGAAGCCTTTCCTCAGGTGCGGTGGCTCACGCCTGTAATCCCAACACTTTGGGAGGCCGAGGCAGGCAAATCACTTGAGGTCAGGAGTTTGAGACCAGCCTGGCCAACATGGTGAAACCTGATCTCTACTAAAAATACAAAAATTAGCCAGGTGTTGTGGCAGGCACCTGTAATCCCAGCTACTCGGGAGGCTGACACATGGGAATCCCATGAGCCTGGGAGGTGGAGGTTGCAGTGAGCCAAGATCATGCCACTGCATTCCAGCCTGGGTGACAGAGTGAGACTCTGTCTCAACAAATAAAAATATAAAAAATATAGGGAAGCCTTTCTTAAACACATTTTCCCTGAGAATGACAATGCAGTACATTTATCTTGGTCAAGTCTTTCTCCTCCAATACCCTGGGTAAGTAGACATTAATTTTTGCCATTCTACATAGGAAGAAACTGAGGTTTTAACAGTACGTTGCTCAAAGTTTGAAGCAAGATTTAAACCCAGGTCTGTTTGACTCTAAAGCTCTGCTTTGCTCATTGTCTGTTCTCTTATGAAATACTAGAGTGCAGGCCGGGCACGGTGGCTCATGCCTGTAATACCAGCACTTTGAGAGGCTGAGGCGGGTGGATCAAAAGGTCAGG